GATACTGGAATATCCAGATCCAGAAATACTATCATAAGATGAGCGCCAAAATCTACGCATCATTGAGAAAACGCAACATATCAAATGCTAGTGAGCCGTGCATAAGGCTGGCACTGGTTCAGTTCCAAACATTGATTAATGTAATCTACTCGAAGATAGCCAACCTAATGGTATACTCGCGCTACCAAGAAAATATCAGAGATATGTTGAGATACCCTAGCGTCATCTACGAGCCACAGCTGTTTCTCTATGTACTATTCGAAGTCTGTAAATTAAATGATGAGACTGATGTTTTCAAATATAATTACCATTTTATAGTCACCCTCAAAATAACTTCCTCCTGAAGCTACACAGCACTGGAGATGGTGCTTCCACTCCTCACTGCTTTCAGCTGATCTATTCCGAAATAAGTTCCCTTGAAGTGATTTTTCAACTCTGATTTGGAAAAAAGTCACACGGACTCAAGTAAGGCAAATAATGAGGCTGATGAGCTACAGGAATGCTTTTACTGACTAAAAACTCGTTTATTGACATTACTGTGTGACAAGGAGCATTAATATGATGCGACACCCAGTTGTTATTGATCTGATGAACGGTGGTGTGAGTTAAATCTAACTCTTCTCCGACCATTGTGACTGACAGCCGACGATCTGAACCCACAAGAACCCGGACTCTGTCGATATTTTTGTCGGTTCTTGAAAATCAAGGCCTTGCGCTTCCTTGTTCATCTTCAATCGACTCTCTCCCTTCTGAAAATCTCTTAAACCTCCGAAAAACCTGGGCTCTTGACAAAACTGTTTCACAAGAAAAAAACGCTACGGACAACCAAATGACCCGAGCGAGTTCGAACTTGTACTGAAGGCGGATCACATGCCCCCTCCTACCCCGGCGCCTCCAGTGTTGCCAGATCGAACGCTACGTTGCCAGCGTCTTAATATACAGACCTCGTACATACTTTGAAAAGGTTATTGTCTCATAAATGGCGCTGCCTAAATGCTTCTATATGGTCACAGAGTTGACTGCAATCTTTTCAAAGTATATTAAATAGAAAGACAACTGTGACAAATTCGGATAGATGGCGCTACAGAATCTCATTCGGATAACTTTTTCTACCCGATGATATTTTTTTTCGATTTCGGAGTTATATAGGGATTTGAGGCGCTTCAATTGTCTGGTCAAGCTTTTTGCCTCATCAGTAAGATCATTATTGGAGTATGGGTCAACCATCTGGAGCCCATATTACGCGCTTCACAAAAAACGCATTGATGCCATACAAGCAGTTTTTGAGGTATCTACGTTATAGAGTGTGGCTGTAAAATGGACATCTAGAGATTGAGCCCTTGAAGAAGATAACAGGATTGTTTCTTCTTGAAGATAGAAGAATGTTCGCTTTATGTTTAAATGATTAAACAATATAATTGATTCCCCCGAGTTTTTGGAAAGAATAAATTCTTTAGTTAATAGCAGAAATTTGAGACATAATAACATGTTGTCCTGCAATAGATTTAGCACAAGACATGCCCAAGATCTCACACTGAATCAGCTCACCTCTTATGTAAGTAATAATGCTAATCTGGATTTTTTGGAGATTTTATATAATGTTTTTACATCCAGGCTGGGCAGGTATATTCTTAATTTGTTACATTTAAATGTTGCGTGATTGTCATTTTCAAGCGTTGTCATCGAAATCCAACTGGTATGAACATTTTATATCTGTTTAATATTCAAATTTCTCATTTTTTATTAAAAAATGGTCAACCGTCGAAATGAACAAATAAATAACTTCAACACCCTGTATGTTAGTAATGGAGTATTTTGGGACCCATTTTTATAAAATATTTTTATCTATTTTATGCGCTAGAAATACTGCCACTGTTTTCTGAATAACCCTATTTTTGTTACTTTTGGTTTAATTAACTGTTGTTATAAGTTGTCATAATGAAAAACGTCCAATTTTGATGATGTAACCTTTATATTTAAGCTTTTTCCAATGTAATCGAAAACATTGCACGAAAATCCATTCAGTGGACCAAAAAGAGATCATTTCTCGAACGGAGCTCAATCCTCAAGAAACATCTATAAATATGACCCTAGGCAACTAAATAAAAGCAAAAGTCCCACAGATCATTCAAACAAAGCATATTCACTCACTTTGAAAACTTTCTGAGCTTTGATTAACATTATAAACCGCATAAATGTACTCGCCAAAATTAATCTTGCTTAGCATGTTGTATAATTGTAATGCAATGTCTCAATGCACATACGACTATGCAACTTGTTTGATAAATTGCATGTTATTTTTGTTAAATTAGAATCGTTGCAGCTTGGTATGCAAGGATAAAGCTTGATAGATGTTGCTGTGTGTTTTGGTGAATTGTACTGGTTGTAGATTTGATTGTGGACTGTAAATAGCGATATTTGTTTGCGGGAAAAAACTAGATGGGTGTTTCTATACTTTTTAAACAATTCATTCCCAATAGAAGGGTATTCCGTAGCTTTTGTAGTTTGAGAGTGGTGTAATGTCTTTTTATGACCATTGCAGCTTATGGAAGTTTATGATTGCATATTTGATTATAGTTTATCTATAATCCTGAATAAAAGTACTTATGTCTCCACTTGGGGTAATTGTGGTTATAGATACTTCAGCGTAACAAATGTCCCCGTAACCGACTGCACTCTTACTCGCTCCGCTGGCATTGCCAGGGTGCACCCGCTCCCCTGTGGACCGCTCAGCTACAACTTGTCCGAAGGCGTCCGCTTGGCTGGGTTCTCAGGACAAACAGCTCAAGGGCAAGGATGGGAGGTTTTCAGGAAATGGTTATAAACGTTTAGCTTTGAGGTTATGTCAATTGTCAAATCAAAGTAGCACAGCGGCTTTCAATTTTATGACCCGGCTTTACAGTCAATAAGATTATCGACATCTTAAAAAAATTGACCAAAAAGTCATTTTATTTTTGTCTAATTCATGGTTTGGGCTGTTTTCTGCTGTAAAGTCATGGCAGAGCGGATACATACGGACAAGACAGATATATGGAGGTATCGATATATCCGAGATTTTTTGTATTCAGTGACTTCACTTAATATTAGTTATCATAGGATTATTCCTCATTTATATTTTGATTATCAGGATTTCCAAGCAAAATTGGTTATTATTCAATAGGTGTGATCAATGTACCTACTTCATGGAAAGCGCCCTAGATTCCCCGGCACTTTTCTGGTTTCCAATAAGCATTTTTGACTGTTTCTCGGTCATAAGCAATAGCTTTTACTGGGTTGCATTCGTTTCGGACAGAGTAATTTTTTTCTTAGTTGTGAAATATTTGAAAATGTATTTTTCACATACTTTCCACCCCCTATTTCGAGTAGTTTTATGTATATCCAAAACTTTGTACGTTCAATGCCTTTGATTAATGCTAGTTGTCCTATAATCGTTTATTATTCATCTTCGAGCTATCAGAAATTATATGCAGAATTGACTATAGACTATTTGATGATGTGTGTTCTTTACGGATGGAGTATCAGATTTCTACGGACTTTTTGGATTTCCAATAAGTATTTTTGACTACATCTAATCATATACATTGATTTTTACAAGGCTGTGTTTCTTCGCAAAGGGTCAGAAAAATGAATTTAGTACTCCATGTTTGTATGGCCAGTAAATGAAACCACTTATTATATATATAATAAAATATTGTCAAAAAAGTGTCAATTGTACTTGAAAATTTAACGTTGTGACCGAAACGTCTACAATGAAGAAGAATTTCAAACATATGTGGTTTGATTGGAACATGGGGATTATCAACATGAAAACCGCAGGGTCAAATGTTACATTTGCATAATTATATCATCATCAGAATTGTCGTCAGTAAACATTATTTCAAGTATATGTGGTTTCACTTAGCGGCCAGACAACAATGGAGGACTAGCATGAAAACCACAGGATAAGTTTTAAGTGGTTAGGGATTTACTAGTTTACCTGATTTTAAGACTACTTGACTTATTGATAAGTGATATTTTTGTATTATAAATAGTAGATCATAAGTACACAACGGAAAGGCTTTGTGACAAGTTGCAGAGAAAATAATACGTATTTAACAAAATATTTTTTTCATCGTATAACAAATGACAGAACGATAAAACTGTAAACTCAAATAGAAAATAAAGCATTTCCTTATCAGCTGATACAAAAAAAATATAAAATTCTGAATCAGCTTTTCATTCGTTAACCACATTAAAGGTGGCTACAGACACAACTGCAAGCTTGTTCAATCTTTTTGTACAAGTATGCACAATTTGCCTTTGGCGCCACACGTACAAGCATGCTTGATAAAAATATAGGCAGTTTGATAACATATGTCGAGCTCGGACGACGATGCGGTGTTGTGTAAAGAATGGTTGATGAAAAGAAAAACCTAACCTACTATCACATTAACTTACTAAGTGAGCTGAAAATATATACGCTTGTCTGGCACAATTATCTTAGAATGGATAAAGAGACGTATTTAAACCTGTTGTTTCTTGTATCACCTTTGTTCCAAAAAAATCTCTTGACATTAAAATAGATTTAGGAATACGTTTCCATGCCTTTTCAACTACTCCTGATCATTTGCATTATAATACAAAATACGGTTCATCAGTTGTACAAATAAATATCTCTGAAGGCATTTAGTAGAACAAATGTAATGTATAATTTACGACCAAGTATCAAGTAGTTTGATCATGTTTAACCTCAAGTCAAGTAGATTAAGACTTGTCAAACGTATGGTAATTTTTGTTCATTTGATTAACATCAATTTTTTGAGTCGCAGAAAAAATTGGCACTGACAAGCCAAACAAAACAAAATCCAAAAACCCAAAACTCTCTCCTGTTCGACCCGGAGTGCGTCACATACTCGCGAAAGCTATAAAACCGAAATGTATTTATGTATCGCTTTATTTCTGTCTATGATGAAAGTAGTTTTTCCGAATAAAATTCAAACGTTTTCCTTTCGATGTTTCAGAACGAATAATGGAACAATTCGAACAGCTACTAACATGTGCCATTTGCTTGGACAGATATCGAAATCCAAAATTGCTGCCATGCCAGCACAGCTTCTGCATGGAGCCCTGCATGGAGGGCCTAGTTGACTACGTTAGGAGACAGGTACGTACCTAATTGATTTTTATTATTCTAATCCGTGATGCTCTTACTCCTGGGTCACCAACCAACGGAATGCGTACCACGGCGTGGCTCGACAGGACTTCAACTTTCTTCTCAAGCAGTGGCACTCTTTTTCCTACCTTATACTACATAAAAGTTGACATGAAAGTAACCATATGCTAAAACTTTAATAGTGGTCTGCATTTATGGATGCTTGATATTCTTTGTCAGCCAGCGATAATTCTGAATTTTCCACAAGTGCCAAGATACCAAATTCATACTTTTGATGAAATATATCACTGATAAAGCTCTTCCCTTCTTGTTCCAGTAGATGCAAGACCATCAGGGGTTGATTAACATACGTATATCAATTAGTTTTTTCTAAAGCGGATAAGCAATGTGGTTTTAAAAAACGCTATAATACCGCCGGAACATTATTGGACCTCACCAACAAGATTGTATTGTTAAAGCCTCTGGGACCATCAACAAGAGACACTATCAGTTCTTTTAGATTTCACCATATCATTTAATATGATAAACCACGTACGTTTGATGTCTGAATGCAAATATTATGGTTTGTGTAATAACTTTTGAAATTGATCAGTCGCTGCCTCACAAATAGATCTCAGAGAGTCGTTATTGAGACAGACTCTTCGACTTCCTCGAGAGTACCACAAGTCTCAGTAATTGGGCCGCTTCTGTTTCTCGGGTACATATCTGATTTGAACAAAATTGTAAAGGACTGCAATATTCAATTCTTTGCAGATGATTCACAACTATATTTTAGCTCTGACCACAGTAATATGAATACTGCTAAAGTAGTTTGTTCTCCTAAAGAACTAATAAATCATGTTAGAACTAATTCCAACGTAAGATAAAGCAGCAATGTTATTCAAATTGGGAAACTATCAAAAAATTGAGGGGCATCTTATAACGAGAACCTTAAATTCATACCTGGCATAAATTACATTACTAAAAGACATTTGCAAAAAATACTAATTTACTCCTCTAAATTCATTTTTAACCTATGAAAATATGATAACAGCTCGTATTAGCTCGTATCTTGAACACCTGATTTGGTTTAGCCTAACAAAATTGTTTAAGTTTGACTTATTATGTTTTGCGCTTAATGAATATAAATTGGCAGAATACCAGAAGTTTAATTTCGCCCTGAATAAAGACGGCTTATTATTAGTATCATTATATTCCACTTGAGCTCAACCCAAACATGCATTAGAGATGCTAAAAAAGGATTGAAGATCCTAGCGCTATGTCTGAAACAGTAACAGAACTAACTTGATTTTGATTTGATATCGCAGATATCAGAGATCTAGATGGACTTTCCAAGGAAAATTTGATTATTCTTGAAAAAGGGAAGATTTTTGCTGTCTTATTTCTATATACTTTATACCTGAGACCAAGCACGAAACAGCTAACCATGGTTGGACGAAAGGTATATTACTACTCGTAGCATGTAACTGAAAGATTTATAAACACCCTATAGAGTGTGTATTTCTTTTCGATCCTGACATCTTTTAATTCGTCCAATACAGCTTTTGTCAGGCTTCTGAATTTTGTTCGTAAACTTACTATTTTGCATTTTTATAGGTGAAATGTCCAGAATGTCGAGCAGAACACCGGATTCCCTACCAGGGAGTCCAAGGATTCCCGACCAATGTAACCTTACAGAGATTTCTGGAACTACATATCGAAATCACAGGAGAACTTCCAGATCCTACAAGTGGACAGGTACAGTTTATTTTTAGCTCAAAAAATTTCAAAACATTTTAGCTTATGTCTGAATTACATTGTTCCTGTTTATATGAAATGTCTACGCGAGCTTTATTTCTTTGTTTGATCAAATATAATGTATACTAAGAAAATGGATTTGAGCCAAATAGTTTAGGCCGATGACTTGCCTCCATACATACAACACTCTCAATAACAATGTAAGTTTCAGGAAATATCTAACAATACGAGATACGGAAATTAAGTTTCGAGAATATGCCAATAAAGAAAAAAATCCAATCGCAATTCCATTATCGAGGTTGACAATGTCTTCCTCTAACTCGACGCAACGAATCCATTCTTGCTCTCACCTTTGGTGGTTCTAAGAAGACCGTCTTCGCACCACCATGACGAGGTGGAATTTTATCTTGAATAAAATAAGTGACAACGAAAAAACACTTTTATCAAACGTGTAATGCCATCACCATTGCAAAAATCTTCCTCATGTTCAAATTCTACTCGGAAGACGAATGTCACGCTATTAGTATTTACTGTGATCGATACCTTGCGTATTTAATTATCACTCGGACAGTTTTAGTAGATTTCTACTTGACCTTATACATCGATAGTTATTGACGTCCTGACTATATGCAGGGCCGATGGTTGACATTTGGTGTCAGTACGGGAGCTCTTTCACATAGACCGTCTTCTTTTATACACATGCACTCGTCTACAACACCTGCAATTTTTGGAACCCTGCTTATACATGAGGTTTGTTGGTGCACTGCTCTTTGACCTGCGAGAGGCGTTCGATACATCAGACATTGTAACAGACAAATTATATGCACTGGGATTTCGACGGACTTTCTAAAACTTCCTTAATATTTGAATCTTCGCAAATGTATGGTGAAGATCGAAGATTACACCTATGGTATTTGCCGAGGAGTCCCCCAAGGTTCAATTTTCGGACCGCTCATATTTACATTATGTATCAACGATTTACCTTCATACCAAACTGATTAGTGTTCTATGCAGATGATACCACCGTTGCCGTGGATACTGGATTTGTAGAAGAACTAAATCACAAAATGAATGTAATTGCTGCTGCAGTCACATCGATGAACTGAGCAAAAACACTAAGCAGAAGTTATTATGCATCATTACAGTTAAAATGTGGTTTCAATGCCTCGTAACTTCTAAATATCTATTTCACAAATGCATGTCACCATATCGTTGTTGCTTTGGCGAAAAATCCTATCTGTTTAGCGCTTTTTACAGAATTAAATAAAACTCTTTTTAATTAAAAAAAATCTCTACAGAATTACTAGTTTCTTATTATGAAACTCTTGTACATCAAATCACGAAGCTCTTGTTCGACTATACAGATACTCAGAAAGCTCCGATGTGGATAAATTGTTACATAAGAACGGCGATATCACGTGATGGTATGAGGAAATTCGCCATCAGCCAAAATAACTTTTTGAACACAGGAAAGGATGATTCGGTTGATATTCAATATGAAATTTGTCATGTAAATGAGTGCTTGAGAAACATAGTGTTTCAACTCTACCATCCCTTTACATATAAAAAATTTGTGAAACTTACAACCCAAAACTACGAACTACATGTAAAAAAATCTGGCGTTTATAGCTTTCAAACTAGGTCAAACAACTCCTTCAGATCAATTATGTGTGATACATCTATTCATGAAAAAAGTATCTTTTACATGGGACATAAACCTCTCAATTCATTGGAGAAGCCCATAAAATGCCTTAAGGGGAAAAAGACTCAAAAGTGATCTTAAGAATGTTTTACTCGATGGTGCATTTCACCTCGCACCTTGTATGTGGAAATTTAATATTTTACATGTACCTATTTATATCAATTATTATTGATGTACTATGTGATATATAGTTGTGGCGACTTATCCAATATCTATGATTTGTAGATCTTTTTGGATTATTATATGAATTAAATTGAATTGAAGATTTCGCCATATTTCACTAAAAACACCTTGTTTGTAATGTGAGTCACTCCTTTTCGTGACTTCACTACGGGCTCTCAGCTTCAACCTTGGACTGAAGCTACAAGGAAGGTCTCCCATTTTTGACAGATGGTGACTAACGACACGTTGCTAGTTCCCGGAACTTAATTGCCGCACCTCACATATGAAAGTTTGAAAATATCAAATTAAAGGCATATATATTTGTATGCTCGTCACACTGTCATTGTTCTTTTTGTTTTATTAGATAATGGAGCGTTGCAATGTCTGCTCTGAGAAGGCGTACTGCAGTTTCTGTCAGCACTGCGATAAGAAGATCTGCGAAGAATGTAAAAGCGCCCATATGGAAATACTCAGGAGGGAAATATCTAGAATAAACAATCAAATACGACGTGGAATACATAGGTAAGCTCAAAAATTACTACACTTTTGTTTCTGTTCTGTTATTAGGCTGTCGTGATTAATTGTAGGTTTTGTCACCTAAACAAGTTAGTATAGACCTATGTGGATTGTTCCAAAACCTGTCAAAGCAAACTTTATATGACTGAATCTCCTAAATAAAATGTAATAGGTCCACGTTTTCTTAGTGGATTTTTGGAGGAATACTTTGAGTAGCTTCCCGACTATTGCTCTTCAGCTCCTCTACAGTGCTTGATTTCGTGTACTAAACTTTTACTATTCTCTACATAAAAACTTCTGGGGGCGTAAAATCTGGTGATTCTAGAAGGCCAATGATGTCGCCTTATACGGAGATCAAATGCTCTTAAAACATTCATCATTTCTGTTTAATGTAAGATTAATGTAAAAATGGATCTCTTCCATTTTGCTTGAAAGATATTGGAACAAAAGTCAGTTTTATGTTGGTCACTCTGCATTTGATATGTTCAAATACAGAGTGGCCATATCCATTTTACTAGAAGTATATATACAGGGTGTTTCAAAAGACGTGCTAATATTTATAGGGTAGAAAGTACATCCAAAAATAACAAAAAAAGTCCCTATGGATTGTCTTCTACCGAGATACAGGGTGATGAAGTCTTATTTACGAAATTAAAAAAACATGTTGACGGAGCGAGCGTTAGATACTGAGTTAGAATTAAAGACGTTTAGAACAAGCAATAAAGACAAAGTTTTCTGACCCAAGCTAAACCAAAGACGTAGAAACTGGGTGTCTGGACCAGTATTAGGAAATACTTGAAGTACATTTCATAAAATACCTTTCAATTTTACATGATAATTGTCTCTTGAGGAATTTTTGTCAGGTCACTTGTTCTTGAGATATTCAGGTTTGACTTTTTGAGGTAAAATCATAAAATCTTTAGCTTTCCCTATACTGAAAATACCGTGAAGCTTGGTATTGGAAACAATTTATGGCATGTGAAGAAAGCTGGGGCACCTCATTACAACATTAATTGAATAATATGCGTCTTATTCTCAATCAGTAGCGTAGAATTCATTAAATTTTTCCAGTGCACGCCACTGGTTTTGCCAACATATTTAATTTTGTTTATAGATAAACATCAAAACAATTGAACCCAACAACACTAGACATTACATTTGATACAACTTCATAGCTTTCTTCACATGCCGTGATCGTGTTTCCAACATCAAGCTTCACGGTGTTTTCAGAATAGGTAAGATTAAATATTTTCATTAGTATATTTTAGGATTTTACCTCAAATATTCAAACCTAAATATCTACAAAACGAGTGATCTGACAAAAATTTCTTGAGTGACAAAATCCATCGACAACTGAATGGTATTTTATAAAATGCACTTTCTTTCTCCGAAAAGGCCAGTGGAGTAGAAAATTCTAGTCAGTCGATTTCTACGTTCCTGGTTTAGTTTGAACCGGCAACCTCTGTGTGTTTATTGCTTATGTTGTGCTCTCTGAACGTCTAACATCTTAAGTCAATATCTTTACCCGTAGATATTTTTTTTGATTTTGTAAATAAAACTTCATCACCCTGTATCTCGGTAGGAGAGCATCCTTGGAATCATGTTTATGGGATTCTTTTAATTATTTATTGATGTAGTTTCTACCCTAGCAATATTTCTGAAGCATCCTGTACATACTGTTGAATGCTTAATCCAACGTACACAGTGTGTTATTTTCCATCCAGGTTACAAGACACACTATCCCTAGTCGAGAAAAACGTCCAAAACATCCAAACCAACTGCCTCTCAGTAGGCGAGGAAATCGAAGAAATCTACCGAAGACTCAACAAAGCCCTCAAGGACAGAACCGATTATCTCCGGACGGAAATAGACAAATACCTAACCACAGAACTAAAAAGCTTAACTTCGCTCAAAGAAAACCTAGAACAAGAAATAGCCAACATAGTGTCGAACTGTGACTTGGCTGATAAACACATGAACGAAAATGTGGATATCTGGGATGACTGTGAATTGATGGATGCTAAGGAGATTTTCCTGAAAACTGTGGAGTTCATACGCAACTTTGAGTATGAAAACTCCGACTATAGTAGGAAAGTGAGGCTGGTTCTAGCTCATGATCCCAACCAGCTAGTGCTACATGTAGCTGGATTTGGAGATTTGAATATCTCATCTAGTCATTTTGGAGCGACAGGACTGTTGCAGCCTCCAGGTAGGTCATCTAAGAGATTCTAAGGAGAAGAACTTGCTGTTTCTGTTTCGAATTAGAGATATAGACACGAGTTGGAACCCAACATACATAGGTGTATTATGTAGATCTGCAACAATTGATTTCTCAAAAAGTTAACTTCAGACAATTATGTAAACCTGGGGCTATGGTATAACTCATGAGGGAAATTTGGCTAAAACAATGTATATATGAAAAATTTTTAACATCTTCTGAACGTTCTTTATACATTTTATGTAAATTATCCTGCACCTGCACCTAAGTCTTTGAGAAATGTCAAATATTGTATAAAAAATCACAAACGCTGGTCCATAAAAGCTTATTAATTTTTCGTATACATATTTTTGTCCTTGTCGATTGATCTGCTATTGGTCGAACATGGAAGGAGGTCTACTTCATTCGATATTTTGATAAATCAATAATACGGTCAATGAAAACGGATGAAAATTAAATTTTAAACAAACCAAAAGTCGAAAGAAAACAAAAACCCTCTGTTTTTATAATTTCATCATCTTAAGCAATGAAAATGAGAACACTTTTGTATAAGGTAGTTCAGGAAATATTTGCAAGCACTAGTTGTCTATGCCTCTATACGGTTTTTTCATTATCGGACTTTTGTGACATGCCAAAGATAATGTAGATATCTGTTCTTAGTAAGACTTTCCCACGAATAATAAGCAAAATTGCTAGTAATGTCCATGTTTGTTATTTGATCACTGCATCCGAGTCAATTTAAAAAGGATTTTCAGGCAGCAAAATAGCGTAGTATGCAATTAGTAACATATGCACCTATTCAGCTCTGCAGTTATTATTATAAACGCATCTACACGTGTTTGAAATTCAATTGAGCATACTGGTCTATTCGGTAGAACGCCGACTTGGCAGTGAATATCGCGCGGGTTTGACCTTACAAAATAGTACTTCATTTTTTTCCTCTTTTTGTGTTCAATTCATTACATATTACAAAGTCATACCTGATGACTCAACTTTGATTAGTCGCCGCGCCATGGCCAACCAAGCTGACCTGGCCATAAAAAAGGTGTATGGAGAAATAGCAAACAAGTATTTGCAAACAGTTCTTAAGCTACTAATTTATGAAGTAAATAACTTTATACAAAATCACGCTTATTTTTATTGATGATGAGATCATAAAGAAGGGGTTTTATATCTGAAAACAATAGAGTTTTAGTATTTTTACAAATTAACTTTCATCCGATTTTTTTATCACCCTGTATTAAGAATTATCAAATAATGAATGAAGGCCTCAAAAGTTGGGTTCCTCCCACAAAAAAAATAGTTACAAATCGTTGGGCAAAGACAAAAATATATTGAAAATTAATAACTTTCATGGGTGATCTTTTTCATAAAATTTAATGTTTCTCAAAAACGGTCATACTTAGATATCGAATGTTATACATGGAATGTATTCAGAGTTTTGCGAAGATTTCAAGTTCAAATAGAAAAAACTACAGGGTGTTCTATGTAAAATAAGCAACTTGGCATCTACTTCCAGTGCGACAGGAAGCGTCACCATTTTCAAAATATTTTAGCCAAGCTCCCCACACCGGTCAAACCGGAACTTTGAGTTTCCATAATTATCCATCGGCAACTTTCCGAGTAATCTATCGCTGCAGTTCTACGTGGGACACCATGTATCCTGTATTCCAGTAATATCAGACAAGCAGAGATTCTTGAAAATTCTCTCCAACACTCAATATGCTTACGAAATTCATAAAGCAAATTTTCAATTTTGGTTATCCGTAGTTATAATGTTGGTATAATATTCGGGGCCTTCCGTCTATCCCACCGAGACACTTGAGGGATCTTTGAATGTGCCACTATGTCTGCCACGCAGCCTATTCACCTATTCCATCCTGTATGAAAAAGTTTAGTTTGGTTTATTCTGCTCACAGATTTGATATCTTTTAGACCTAGCTAAAATAATTTATTAAATACTGCGTCTCCATTTTTCTTGGACTACATCTCTTTCATATCCAACAGGTGGCCCCGGCCTAATGCGATCTAAGAGCGACCACAGACTAGCGTCCCAATTCCGCCAGCAAGAAGAACGTGGTTACGATGACGACCAAGTCCTCGGAGGGCGAAAATTCGGCGAACGTCCAAAAACATCCGAAAATCGTTACGATTCGCGTTACGGCGAAGACTACGATCACGAATCCGCCAGGCCTGGAAGGTCAAAATACAGCCGGTTCAGAAGACACCAACATGACAACGATTCTGACGGCGAAACGCCGGGTGCCAAGGGTGTCAGATTTTCCGATCACCACAAGCACGAGAGAGAGAAGGCCTTCGACACTGAGGACGCGTCTAAGGGCCCCCTTAGCGGTATCACCCGCTTGGCCGACTCACCCAGAGTCATGAAAAAAATGCAGGACCACGAATCAGGCCGACTGAAAAAAAAGGAGGAACCACCTGCGGCGCCGGCCGCGGCTCCTCAGCCGAAAGTGGTACCGAAAAGACCCCCTCCTCCCACAACTCAAAGACAAGTAAGTGAGGAGGACGAGATAGCCAGGATCAAAAAGCAAAATAAGGGTGCAACTACATCAGCGACTGAAACGCAGGCTGAGACCAGGCCGAGCGAGGAGAGGCAACGTAAGCCTCACGGACCGTCTGAGGTATAGTAGGATATGTTCAAGCGGTAGGGTTGGGCTGCGAGGAATGCACTGTTGTTTTTGCACGTTTCGGACATTTTTATATAATTCTTAATAATAATACGCATCTATTAAAATGATGCAATCGATTAAAGACTTAAGTTGTGATAGGGAAAAGCTGGAACGTTTTGCCTAAAGATTCACTAGATAAGTAAATATAGCAACTAGTGATGTAACGAATACGCATAATTCTTGATGTTGGCATTCGACTCCGCAATCGAGAAATTCATACTGGAAAAGAACAAGAAATATTATTTTTTTTAGAGTAGCATGCTGACAAACAAAAACTTTATTAAATCATATTAAAATGTTAGATTTCAATTGAATGAGCTGCCTTCGAGTGAAATAATCCAGTTTTAAAACCTTATCAATCGGTGATCTGCAAATTTATATCCTGGAGCCTTGAGAATCGCTTGTTACGAATCTATTATCCGGATTGTTATAATTTTGAAATGACGTTATCAGTGTTTTGCCATAAAGATAATGAAACTATACTGGAACTAGAAGGTTTCCCTCAACGTTGCCTTATCATCATGGGCATTGCAAAATAAACACGTTTTACTTGTCTTGCGTACTAGATAGTCTAAATCATGTTCAGTCTTAACTTCTCCCAACTCAAATTATTCATATTTGTGTTTATTATTGTTTATGTTTATGCATTCATCTTACACTTGCAACACAGATTAGACTTATATAGATATCTCCATTTTTACTTTTGTCAAGATGCATATATTTTGACATATGCTCTTCAACCCCGTTTTGCATGTGCATGCATATTTTAAACCCAACCTTGTTTAAAAAAAAAACAAAGTACTTATCACAACTTTCTCAATGGATAGCATCGATAGTGGCTACATTTACTATAATAAATATTAGTTACATATTTTTATAAAGCTTTTTTATTCTTGTTGGAAATAATAAAGTATAGTGTATTTATTTCTTAGAGTATCATTTATATTTTTGTAATAAATATTTTATATTTGAAATTAGAGGATAAGGTCAATTTTTGTCTCAACGGTGGTATTAATATCACGATAGTTCAAGCTAAATGTGTTAAAAGTATCATAGTTAATCATGTAACAAATCATGTCTACAAAAACTTGAAAAATTCTAACATCTAGCGACAACTAGATATATAATTCAGAAAAATAATAAAATGTATTGAAAGTTTTAATGATGTTAACGTAGCGTCTTAAATATTAGTAAATAAAATTTTCATACTGACCATATTCTAACCCGTTGTGATAAATTAACATTTTAATGTGGTAGCTTGGAATAATATTTCATTGAATATTCACTCAAAATATTTGTTATAATATAACAAGTAATTAAAGAAAATTCATTAATATCCAGTGTAATATACAGTTGCAGTACCGTACTAAAATAGAAATCTATTTAAATTACGTAAAACAATAAATATTCGCAAAATCGTGAGAATGATACACATGCTCAAAACGTACGGCTATCAAGATATATAACTATAATTATATTATATATTATATATAAATATATTATAGCTTTATTTATTGATATGGATACCAAAACTGTATACGGAAAGCGTCAGAAAATCATTTATAGTAGGTAAATTAACCTCGTAAGATTGGCAAAGATGTAATATAGAAAATACTACGATGGCTTCTAAGCTTTCAAAATAAGGTTCCTATGTAAAACATAATTAATTTCAAGACTAAAATAGCAACTAGATGTAAAAGGCTGTAGGCAAAAGCAGTCAAGAACGGTGTTATGCTGTAGATTTACAATCTTCGAACATTGGAATATACTTTACATTAGCTTGCTCATCTTTTTATGTGTTTGTGTCGTTGTCTTTATTCTGACTTAGAGACGACGTGTCTCAGAAACGTATGAGGCAACAGGGCATTCCTCACATTCAACATGCCATAGCAGCTGAACATCTACATCTGTGTACCTGATTAGCAGACTAGACTACTAAACCAAACCAAGTACACTTAGGTCCATCTCCAGAATGGGCCCTAACACTTATAATCGATCACACTTCTGGCATGTTTCAGACTTCAGACACTCCTCACTCTATCTCTCTCTGTCAAAAGACAATAGATGTCTGTCTCTGTCTCTCTCTCTTGTGTTTGTGTTGTGTGATGTGTGTGAAGCATGAAGCATGAAGAAGGATGTGAGCCGTTGAGGGTCGCTAACGCACACATCTTTTCCCTCAGGCATCCAGTACCGAGGAGGTTGAGGATAGTACCGCCTCTCAGAGAAAACCCTCGATTAGCAAGACAGTCGTACCTGCGACTAGGAGATCATCCGATACCGGTAGGTAAACAACTTTTAGCGATTTTGTTCAATGTTGCACAACTTAAACGTCATAGGAAGTGAAAATGACATAAGGCAGCTACAAGGGCGTATCCAGTGGGGCGCCAAAGGGGCAGGAACCCCCCTCTTCCCTAGCTCGGCGAAAATTAAATGGAGGAAACATTTTTTGCAAAAATTAAATTATTCATGCACTGGATTCTCCACAAACTGAATAAATACCTATTAGATAAGAAATTAGGTGTTATGTTCGACATAAATCAATTTTGCTAAAAGTACTATATATATTCGTGTGTTTCTAAATCGAACATCGCCTTTGGGATCTCGGAAGCGATAAAGTGAATGCCACACAATCAGTATTCACTGTGGTGCGTACCATCAGTGGATTTCTGCGTAACATTATGCGTCTATAGCTACCGAGTCCAAGCTACACGGTCAATAAATATCACATTTCATGATAAATATACGAGACTGCGTACTTTATGGAGGCAAATTTCGTAGGTACATAAAAAATGGAACTTGGATAGTTTGGAAATTCTAAGTATATCCGCATATATACTGAGCCATTTTAATTTCTTCCTTGCTTTAGTCCGAAACAAAACTTTTCAAACATACACGTTGTCTACAAAATTTCAAACAAAAATGACACAATAACGTTACCACTTTTTCTCTTCTACACGGTGGGATAACTAGAATTTCGATCTGACGTTTCAGCTCTCAGTTTTTCAAAATTAAACCGTTGAAGCAACTATACTGCGAAAGGTTAAGAAATCTCGAAAATGGACATACTACAGACCAAAATATGTGAACTGATCTAAACATACCTTAGTCCAAAGTTGATAGCTTGCGAGATACAGGGTGTCAAAGTTGCAATTTTATTTTCTATTTTTCCTTATTGCTTGAGAAGTGTTTCAGATTTTGGCATTGGCATTTTCGCAGACCTGTATATTTTTTTATGAAATAAAAGGGTTATGTGATAATTTCAAGGCTTACTCAAGAAAAACATTTTTGTAATAATGGATGACATGCTATAATATTTGAGATTAGAATTAAAAGCTATTTGACTAAGCAAAAGTTTCACATATAAGAAAAATCACAGTTGAGACTTGGAATAAGAGACGAAAAATGATATTAATTATTATTTATGCAGTTTATTTTGAAATCCTACCTCAAACGAAATCAGAAAAAATTTTAAACCTGGTTGGGAAAATTTTTTCACTTGTCCGTGTATCTCTGGAGATAGTGTAAGCGTCAAAACTTTACAAATGCATTTTCTAAAATATATAAATACGCAAGGTTGCCTCCATTCAACCGACCCGTATCGCTTACCGACAAATTTGTTTTTCAAATCATCCTAGAAGAAAGTAGGTGCATATACTTCTATATATTCTAATAAACTATTTTTGGCTATATGACGAAAAATTAATTGTAAGAAAACGACGAATAAATACCGACAAAGATATTTTTTTCTGGAATTAGTACAATATGCTAAATTCCCCGGCTATATCAAAACTTCTCTCTTTGAAGTGGCATAATAGAAGATAGAAATATGTACGGTGTTCCATATAAAAAAACCGCTTTTGTTGTCATGTCGATATGAATCACCCTGTAGTGAACGGTGTATTTCAAGGAGGAATCGTATAGTCCACAATTTTTGTAAATAACATTTTTAATTATGTTTTATAGTAGTAGAGATATTGTCCAATTAGATACTAAAAACTATGCCTAACTTGTTGCAGCAGTTACGTCGCTGGATAGCTTGAGCATTTTTGAAGATTTTTTCCGATATTAATTACTACAAATGCTTTAAATGTTGCCTACTATTTCATGATTAGTCTTATGCACTTTTCGGCAAAAAATAATTGCAATATCCAGTTAACTACAAATACCCACCTTGAAGGTGTTTTCATCCCTTTCCCAATTCTTGTATTGTCTTATAACTTTGAAGTTTGATAAAAAAATTCCCTGAATTTTTTATGTCGATATGAGGGGCCTTTGCATTCACTCTAAAGAATTTATAATCCTTCTGTACAATATTTTTTACAATAGGCCTCCCATTTGACTTGCAAAAAAGTAATCCTAGTACTTTTCCATATCCATAGGAACTGTCAAGACTCTATATAAATGATGTGCAAATAGAAAGAAAAATATCAAGCATAGTTATGTAGATATTATTTGTGGAACAAAAATTTTATTACTCTTCCGTTTTAAGCTGGGTACGCCCTTTAGGCGGCACATACTAGTGAAGCTTGACTTGAGGACAATTCCCGGTTCTTCGCATTATGCAAACACACACGGCTAGTTAAGTAGCACCAAACACCCGAAATTTTGTTATTTACACCACATAAACTGCTTGAATCGTGTAGTTTTAATAAAAACAGACTAGGCATTTGATTATAAATTCTGTTAATATAGACTCGATTACCGAATATGGCAAAACAAATTGAGCAGGGTTATAAAAAAGGCATATGGGTGTTAAAAATGTTCCACTATGAAGATCTAATCTGAAAAATGCGATTGACTTTGCTTTCCAGGTACCAAAAAACCAAGATCCCCAAGCTCCGAGTCCACGACATCTACAGAATCTTCAAGTGCTTCGTCCAGCGTCATACGCAGCACTGGGGCTCCTTTCACCACCGAAGAAGTGAAACAAAAGATCCTTTCGAAAAACAAAGCACCTGCCGTACCTGCAGCCGTCTCAAAGCAACCAGCTGCTAAAGGAAGATACGTAGCTAGCAAAGAAGAAAGTGAGACGAGTAGCGAAGAAGAAACTGAGTCTGAAGAAGAATCTGAAGAGGAAACAACCAAGGATACCAAAGAGATGGCAAAGACAGATATTGGGCCTCTGCTAGCGAGAAGTGCGAATGCCAGAGGGGATAATACTTCTACATCGAAGTATGGTGCTGCTAAAGATGACGCTACGTCGAAGTATTCAAAACCTAGGGAAGATGATCATCCGAGGTATGGGTACACGAGCAGGTTTTTGAATAAGAGCAAGAGCAGTGCTGCTATTCCGCCTGAGGACGAAGATCTACATACCAGTAGGTGCGTATAATGGACAATTGTGGCATTGACCAATGTTGGTTTTATAACCTTCAAAAAACCTGCATTCTTATTATCTAAGAAATGCTATCTGACAGTTGCACTTGCAAAATTTGCGCTAATGTCTGTTCAGATAACGCTCGAACAGAACGGAGAGTGAATGAGATTTGAATGCATTGTAGGTACTACGCTGGTCGGATATCATATACGCCATGAGCGCCAATCCTATCATAGTTCATGGGTTGTGGGCTCGTTGGATACTTTTGAAACAAAATGTATTATGTGAGAAATGACGGGCAAATGTACAGTTTCAATCCTGATACTGATGGTAAAGTATACGCCGACCGTGAACCGAAAAGGGATCTACACAGATTATACAAAAGCTTTCGTCATGACCTACTCTAATTAGAAAATTTTGGAGTATCAAGCAGTCAACTATCCTGGTTTAGAAGCTTCCTGTCAGAACAAACACATTGTCAGATATGTTGGATCATCATCTAATCCCGTCAACGTATTTTCAAGTATACCCCAAGGCTCCCACATTGGTGTAGTTTTGTTTAATTTATTTGTTAATGATGTTACAGAGTCTATATCAAATAGATTGCAGATGATCTCAAATTATTCAGAACATTGAGATATATCCATGATGCAGAAATCCTGCAAAAAGATCTCATAAATCTTACTAGTGTATTACTAATAAGATCGACATCAGTTTGAATAAATGCTACCAGATAAGCTTCAGTCGTAGTTCAAATTCTCTCATGTATGAATATAAAGTTGAAAACCGTGACTTAGGACAACTGACACATTTAGGGATTTAGGTATCATTTTTGATACAAAATTAACTTCTAAAATACATATAGGAGAAATTACTTCTAAGTCATATAAAATATTAGGATAAATTTTTAGTTTTACTAAACATCTCTCTGTAGAGGTTTTCGAATTTTATACTGATCTTTGCGTCACAACATAGCGGTCGTCAAATTTTACTGGTGACATTAACTCAATTGCAGAAATGTAAGGTGAATTTTTAAAACAGACGGCTATTAAAACACGTCGGAGTCAGGATGCACCAGAACTAATGAGTTCGTAGAACATAGACTCCTTGGAACATCAGAGGGAAATTTTTTATTTATATTTTCGGCTTAAAATAGTTAATGGTGTCATTGATTGCCCAGAGATGCTGACACAAATAAAATGTTAATGAAACAATACAGAACTGTTTACGATTCCACATCGTTCTACCAATCCTGGTATGAATGAACCAGTTGCTAGAGTTCCTAGATCTAGAAACGCCGCAGTTAGGTACAATATAGATATTTTCAGTAGCAATATTAAGCACATTAGAAAGCACATTTAAGTTTATTTTCTTAGGTTTTGAACATAAGTGGGTCGGGTATCACATGAATCTTTAGTTCTTCTTTAGTTTAATAATTTATATATGTCACATATGTCACTGACGCGCATGCGTCTGCTGCCTATTCTTTGATAACCGAAATTATCCACGTCGAAATGGAGGAATACATCCCTCATACAGTAAAAGTGCCTAAACCAGGCTCCAACGGCTGGTTTAACAAATCATGTGACACTGCTCGCCAAACGGCTCAAATGCCAAGGCGGAAGTGCTTCCCAAGATGGACGTCCCCTCAATGCCCAAGTGCCGTCAATTCAAAGGGTTCCCTACGCAATGCGGGAGGTAACATTCTGGCATAAAACTCTGTCGCTCGACATCAACAAAGCTTCTGGTCCAGACTTGATTCCTGAAATTGTACTGAAGAGATGTGCAGCGGAGTTTGCTCCAGTTCTTTCGCGTCTCTTGCAGATATCTTATGAATCCGGCACCTTCCCAGAAAACTGGAAATTTGCTGTCCAACCCATCCCAAAAAAAAAGCATCTAACACCGACCCTTACAACTACAGGCCTATAGATCTGCTTTCTGTTATAAGTAAGGCGATAGAGAGGTGCATAAATCGCGAGTTTAAGTGCTGCCTCGAACGTCACAGCTTGATTAGTGACAGGCAGTATGGTTTCCTCTTATGGTGAGCCTCATGTCGTTGCTCTTGACATCACGAAAGCGTTCGATCAGCTGTGGCACGCTGCCCTCATAAGCAAACCTCCATCCTATGGCCTCCCAGAAAAGTTTTACAGATGGATGGCTGACTTTATCTCTGGCCGTAAGATATCCGTCGGAATTGGCGGGTTCTCCTCTTCATCCCACAACGTCAACGCGGGTGTTTCCCAGGGATCGGTCGTGACTCCCACACTGTTCCTCTTACACATCAACGACCTCCTTTCCTGCACGATCAACCCAATCGACAGCTTCGCACTTTACATGCAGGAAATCAGAGTGACAAGCCATGATACCGCTCCGCCTGCCAGACAGACCCGCCTGACTTTAGCGTCCCATCTTAACCGTGTCGAACTTCGTACATCCAGAACCGGCCGATACGACCGCTCCTTTGTCCCGAGGGTGTCAAGATTGTAGAACAATCTACAAGTGGAAGCTTTTTCCAGTTCTACTAACCTTAGGCAGTTCAAAAATCGTATTAACAAAATTTCTTTGAGATCATCATAGCAGCCGCGGTATTTTGAAATTTAGGCTTCAGCCCACGCGGCTGCTTCGATATAAAAGGAATAAACGTAATGTTTTTTGTATGCAATGGGAAAACGCAAATAAATAAATAAATCGATAAATAAATACAGAGGTGCCACCTCTGGAGCAGTATCGCAAAACTTTGATCATAAGGAATTGTAATTTAACATAAGGAATTGTAATCTGATAGTTGCAGTTTCAGTTATTCTTATTCATGTAACATCAGAGCATAAAGCGTTCAGAAAGAATGTAGTTGTGAAATTTGCTTTTCTCAACTCATACGCTTTGATAGTCATGTAGCTTTGAATGCTTGCATGGTAACTTCGAGCATTGCTTTACAATGTAACGAGACAACTGTTCTCACTTATTTGGATACTGGAAGATGCTTAGATATATGACAATTGATATAGCGATTGCAGTCTAGAGACTTTACGATACCAAAGGTAGTTACGAGCCCAAGATTTTGAGTCCAAGTCCCTACCGCTTACACCAATTATTTTTCCTAGCACGGATATGTATGAAAAGGACGTCTAAGCAGCCACAACACTAAATTACCAGAATGCATATAATCTTCTCATTTTTCCGTTCATTGTTTGTATCATATAGAGCCTTCGTCAACGATTTTTTCTACATCTTACTAACGAGTAGCAAGCAATAGTTTAAGAAAGAATACAGATCACCTCCATCCGGCCTTACTATATCAACAAACACTTGTGTACTTCAAGTGCAAGTATAATCAGCATCGTTGCTTTTAGGTACTCTACTGCCGATGAGGACAAGTACCCGACAAACCGCTCTAGATACATGGCCATGAAAGAGCGCAGACAACGTCTAGCGAGGAGCAGAAGCAGTCAACAATTTGGAGATGAAGATGAACCTGATGAACCAGTATCACCAACAACGTCCAACCCATCAGCATATTTGGCTTCTAGAGGCTACGGTAAGGAAATCTATTACCAAAGGATACATTAACATGTACAAAGGTGTTGCCTTACATGAGCAATACTCTATGCTTTGCAAAAAAACGCTAGTGGTAGACTTGACACAAGGTTATTACTATGACAAAGATGGTTAAAGCTTTTTGGGTTTTGAAAACCTTCTTGATGGCATGTTTTTCATTTAGGATTATATCTATGATGTCTAGAACCTTATTCGGATTCTACAGGGACTTATACTAGAACAGTTCTAATTTTATCCAATTTCTTTTCAAATTACTCCAAGTTGAACCTCCTACTCCCTTTCCAGGCAAGAGCTCCGCTCATGTTCTCGCTAGCAGTCACTCCTCGCACGCATTGAAATTGCGTGACGGTCCTCCCGAGCACCATTTCAATAGCTCTTATTCTATTTTTTTCGATTGGCCAAATTAATAATTTTACTTCCTTTCTAGGTACAAGTTCCGCTCACGACCTCGCTCGTAGTCGCTCATCGCACGCTCTGAAATCGCGCGATAACTCGCCCGAGCGCCCTTCACCCACCTCGGCAGCCGAAAAGGACGGGGCAGCCCTAAGTTCCTGGGCGCGCTACCTGAAAAACAAATACGGAAACCGTGGAGGGGCGTCCAAGGACAAGGACTCTGCTGGTGGGGGACCTTCGGCGTCATCAAGCAGCGCTTCCTCAGCAGCGGCAAGACGTTTGTCGCTAGGTCTGCCCTTGAGGTCTTCTACTGACTTAGCCAGTTCTGACGACGATTCAAAAAACATGCGAGGCTCCCCCACTACCCATACAGCAGCTACAGCGGTAGCCGGTAAGTAGCCCATTCCGTTTTTCAAAATCTATAAAATATTCATATTTTACAATTTTTTGTATTCGTAGGTATCGCCCAAGCGGTGGCCGGTACCTGCCTTAGAGGCCAGTACCTCGAGAAAGGTGCCCAGCTGTTTCAAATTGGTAGCAGGGGGAGCGAAGCCGGATGTTTTACCTGGCCACGGGGCATCGCCGTTGGTCCGGATAACTCCATCGTTGTCGCTGATTCCTCCAATCACAGAGTACAGGTTAGTTACCAAAATCGCTTCTTTTCCCCAAATAACGCGACAGAACTCTTCAAGCTAGCTTTTCGGTACAATTTGAGGAAAAGGCTGCTCAACGAATCAGAAAAAGGCTCATACTTCGCATATCTAGAGCACTAAGGGCTCGCGCATACTGGAGTCAGCAGAGGAAAGACTTCAAATGATCTCCCCATGACAGCCCTTGGACAAACCTCGGTATGCTACGGCATGCCACGGGATCCCGCTTGAAATTATGATGAATAAGCTATATCATTCAATTTAGTTTTGTTTTAAATTGTGATGGATTTGCATGTTAAAGTTGCCGTAATAGCTATTGTGGGGTGTGGCACTCGCAAAACCCCATCGTTGTCTCTGATTTCTCCCATCCCCAGAATACAGGTACTACATACGTAATCGAAATCGTTTATTTCCTCCAAAGAGCTCAAGAGAATTCTTTACGCTAGCTTTTGGTACAATATGAGGAAAAGGTCGCATGAAGAATCAGAAAAAGGCTCATAGTTCCACATAACTAGTACTAAGGGCTCTCGCATACTGTAGTCAGCAGATTAAGGCCTTCTAAAGATGTCCCTAACGGCAACGCACAGTGATAGAAAGACCCTGAAGATACCGCGAGTACCTGCCGACATCCAACCTGTTCACACCGACAGCCCTTGTACATACCTCGGTATGCTACAGCGTGCCGTGACACCCCGGTTGAAATTATGGCGAATGAGCTACCTCACTTAAGGTCATTCTGTTTAAAATTCCGGTTGATGTGCATGCTAAAGTTGCTGTAATAATTATTCCGGGGTGTGGAACTCCACAGAACTCTTTACGGTAGCTTTTTGGTACAATTTAAGAAAAAGGACGTACAACGAATAAGAAAAATCATCATCGTTCCACATAACTAGCACTGAGGGAGGGTCTCGCTTACTGAAGATGGCAGAGGAAAGGCCCTCCGTTGTCTGATCCCACAGCATGCTTTCTGCTGCTGAAGATAATCCTTCCTAGGGTATCTAGGGGCATTTTGTAGGAATCCGTCGCATAAGCGTCCACATACTGTAGCATCTCATGCATACCAGACTCTCTGGGTACACTATCGTAAGCTAGCGGTTGCTGACCGACACTTGCAGCAAGTCGTGATTTTGTGCTGTCCCGCTAACGTAACTGATATTCTAATCCTATACCATGGAGGCTCATGGAAGGGCATGTGGTAAGAATTCGCTGCCAGACTGGATCAGTGTACTCTGCTTGTAGGGAAAATATTTTGGATGGTCTCAGCAGCCATTCCCCAGAATGAGCCATCCCTAAGCGTTGATAACAGCGTTTTGTAGATGAACTAGAGTCACACCTTTTTCTTTATCACGTAAAAAAGTGTTAAAAAAGCCCGCCTAGTGTGCACCCAGTAACGGTAAAGAGTAACACTGAACGGTATCCTCTTCCCAACAACTGACATTGATAAGAAACATCTCTCGCAATTAACCTCTAATACCTCACGGATTTTTGGTTTGGAGGGGAGCTATGAATAATAATTACAAAAAGGTTGATGTAATTCAAAAATTAATTCTAAAATTGATCCTCCATAAGAAGATACTTATTCAATTCATTCTCTATATATGGAGGCTCAACTATTAGTTTGTAGACGAATTCATTTTTATTATATTAAATGTTAAATACTTGAATCAAAATTCAATGTATATTTCACAAACATCAGAAACCACAACAATCTCTGTTTTTCTTGGGACCAAAATTCTATAACTTCATGCCAGAGTCATTAAAAGCAACTAGATCAATTAGATCATTATCAAAATCAATAATATCTTACTTACACTAACATCCATACTTTTACTTTAGTTATAATTGCCTGGATATATTTCTTAACAACCCCATAACAATTCAATTCACCAAATTATATAGTATGTACGCTTTTCAAACATTGACTCTACTTTTAGTTTTATTTTTAACGAACCCAAACGCAAGTGCAAACTTTTTTGTGTGCTTTATTTTTACGTTTATTGTGTACAATATTTAATGTACTTTGTGACAATAAACATTATAATTATCCTGCCAGCATCTCGCCAGCTTGAGATAATATCTATGGACAAATTTTCTGTAAGTACACTAAGAAACGGCGCGTATTTGTTCAAAAAATACATTTCAGCATCCCTGTAGAAAAGCTTTTGAAACAAGTTTAAGAACTATAACATACCGGGGAACGGCAGTGGAAAGGATAAAGGAGGATTTTGTTCTTGATAGCCCTGATAAATATAAGCCTCGAAGTGAGGCAGTGCGAAAATGTTTTGTATGTGATGCGTCATTCATAACTTTTCTGAGATGTCGCTTAATTACACACAACGCAGGTGCGGTGCTGATTTCCCGTAATGCTTCTCAATGTTTTTGAAATTCGCAAAAAAAAAGACGGGGAAAATCGTAATGCATAGCTTTGTACATAACCTGTCTTCACAAAGAACAACACAAATAACCCGTCTGGCACAGCTAATAGATATATTTCATGGGCAGCATATTCAGTAATAATTTTCTCACATAGCAAATATCACTGATTTTATACAGTTATAGACCAATACACATAATCATCCAGATGTGATCTTGTTACTATTCGCGGAATATACCATTTGCCACTAGGAACTATGTAGTCAGCAAGTTGACATTCTGTTGGTTTTTGACGTTTTTCAGATTTTTTACGTAAAAGCCCTGCGGGTACTAGATAATTGAATAATGTTCTGAAATTGATCTGACAAAAACATTAAAAGCAGTCAAATTAATTTATTAGTGCTATTGAAGTGTCCACTGTTTCTGATAACAAATCCGAAAAATGTACATGCCTTAACTGTCATTTTATTAATAAATATTAATTTATTTGAACCAAATAACACGTCCAAATCCTTGAAGTTATCAACTCGCCGAAGAATACTAAAGATCTTTTCGCGAGATCCCGTAGTGAATGGAGCGGGAACAGATGGAATGTCCACCTCCTCTCGAAGTTTTGACAGTTTTAAGCTACACCGGGAGTGGTTAGATGGCGCATGTTGCTTTAAGCTCCTTGATAAACTTAGCTGCCTTCTTTGAATCTGAAATAAAAAGGCCGATCGTTTTTTGTGCAATGTATCTATCAATAAAATTAACCGTTTGATATGACAAGTGCGGTTCCTATATCGACGATGACCTTCTCCCTTGTCAAAATGAGGTGGACCTGTTCCTTCATTTATGATTTAATAATTTAAAAAACTTAATTTTCGGCACTGCCAAGACAAATTTTTAATTGAGACGTCTGCTAAAACCTCACCGAGCTTAGGCGGTTAACCGTACCACGTCATTTTTTGACATTTGGATCACGTCACATCCATATTCCCCTATTCCCGTTCTTCGCGAAAATTTGAGTGTCGCTTCCCGGTGCCACACACCGTGGACTCCCGAAAAAATCCTTATTGCTACCGATTTCAAAAGTGAAACATGTCGGTTCAACCCTACGTGTTAATGTCATAGTAGAACATTTATCCTCATTCAAATAAAATTGTAACTTAAAACTTCTAAAAATTTTAAAATTGTCAGCAACGCCAGAATAATAAAATATGATTATGCAATGATGCTTTTTCCTATCATTCCACAGAATGTACTAGCCCTGAATCATATAAATTGACCCATGTACTAATGTAATGTCCTTGATCGAAGGTATTTGACTCAAACGGCCGCTTTGTGAAAGAGTTCGGTCAATACGGTAACAAAGAAGGCGAGTTCGACTGTCTGGCAGGCGTAGCAGTGAATCGCATCGGACAATACATCATTGCAGATAGATACAACCATCGCATTCAAGTCTTCGACCCTTCAGGAAGGTTCCTGAGGACCTTTGGAAGTCAAGGGACCGCTGATGGTCGCTTCAACTACCCGTGGGGCATCACCACTGATGCGCTTGGATTCATTTATGTGTGTGACAAGGAGAACCATAGAGTACAGGTAAGTTATAGCATTCATTAATGTGCGCCAGGAGCGAAGTACATGGTGGGGGCACTAAATCCATCACCGCACACGTTGTGGACTGAAATGGCAACTTCAACGGCACGTGAGAATTCAATGATACCAGGGCCTACGAAAGTTGTCCAGGTATATTCGTGCAGTCGTCGGGGCATGCTTCTGAAATAATTTATGTATTTCTGAAGTATCCTATCCCAAGTTTGCATTACTTGTTTCCGGAGAGCTTCTAGTGCTTGTGGAGAATGTGGTCACTATTCTTCCCCTCATACCCCACACACGTTCAGTTGAAGGAAAGGCAAGGCAAAATATATGGAAAATGATTTGTCTGGAAATTTAGTATGATATATTTCTTGCCTTCCTGAACATAAGTAAGGAGCAAAACAATCCTATGATTAGTTTCTTAGAAGCTAGGGGTGAGGTTAGCAGATTTGCAGAAATGATGGATGTGCCCATTGTAGCTCTACGGCCTAAGACAGAGTGAGAAAAATATTTAATTCAAAAAGCTTTTATATATCTTGGCCTTAGAAGGTCAATTCAACGGCAAGTTCAGTTTTATACGTTAACACTGGAATGGACCTGGCACGAGTTTTTCGAGAATTCAAAAAAAATTACTCTGAGCACAGTTTACTTCACAACCCATGGAAAAATCGTTGTTGTTTCGTTGCCGTCTACAGGGTTAGTTCAACGTCATGTTGATTTTGGAAGCGATAAAGAAAGGAAAAGCTCACTATTGAAAACATAGCTTTAGGGTATTGTAATTTATTGTATTTTTTGTTTTGTTCTGCTTCCGGCATACCGAACGGTTTGGTTTTTTGAAGAATAACGAACTCGTAAAGAGCATATTAAAGTATCCAGGGTTTGCGCGCCAAATTTACAATTAGTTATTGCATAATCAGCAGGTTCGGTACATACTGCACTTGAATGATCTTCTCGATTATTGGGCACATTCACCACTTTTGCATCGGCAAACCGCCTATTTCCCAGAAACTAATCATAGAATTGTTTTGGACCCATGAAATCTTGTATTCAGGACGGCGACAAATATGTCATACTGAATTTTTATTTAACCCGATTGGGACCCATTTTCTATATGTTTTGTGTGGAGTCCCTGAAGCCAAGCACGGAGGCTAACTTGACCATTATTGAGGCAGTTCATTGTAGCTTCAGCAAATACAACTATATTCATCATCAGCAGCAATAGCGGAATACCTGATATTGAAGCTAGTGGGACAAATTGCTTGAATTCTACGCGGTCTTTCTAAATACTTGTGATCCGAGCAGATTCTTGGCCAAAAGCACTACGTATTTGAGCATAATACAGAAACAACTTCTGTTATATCATTGTCATTATATTGATTCAATAGAAAGATTTGGAAATAGTTAATAATTTGTTATTCATATTTTTTTGCTAAGAACTTTTTGATTTAAAATCAAAATAGATAAGACTCAAAGCTAAAGTTTTGGTTGGCGATTTTGCAGTATCTATCAAAAAATTTGGTTGGCTCCCAATATTTTGCATTTTTCAATATTTTTGTTAAAAAACTCAGATAGGGACTGAGCACTCAAAGACTATGTTATTTTGGTTCAAAATAAATCGTATGCTTGCTCCTTCAACCTAGTCCAAATTCGTTGATTCAAATAACTATTTTTAATCGGTATTCTATTCTCTTTGTCACTGTGTATATTATCCCCATCTTACTACATGGCTACAAATACTGTGCACGCAAACTGGATGCTATATACTTGCACCTTTACTATCGTTTCTTTTTTCCAGGTCTTCCAGTCAGATGGCACATTCGTTGGTAAATTCGGCACCATGGGTAGCGGTGAAGGTCAGTTAGAACATCCACACTACATTGCAGTGTCCAGCACGAATAGGGTCGTTGTTTCCGACTCAAACAACCATCGTATTCAGATCTTCGACGTTAATGGAAAGGTCATCACCACCTTTGGATCTGAAGGAGCGGACGAGGGTCAGTTCAAGTTTCCGAGAGGAGTTGCAGTTGATGATCAAGGGTAAGATTGGATCTGGCTAATGGGACGCAATGTCCTAGTGCCAAAAGAAAAACTGCACGCTCGACGGCCACACTGTGTTTCGCGGACGTTTTATTGATGCGACTTGTTCAAGGAGGTATTTAAAACTTGGACGCATACAATGGGTACACCAATTTTTGTGGGAGAACTTCTGTTCGACAACAAAGAATGAGAGAACGTGTATTTTTTCGATTCAATCGAAAGGGTTGTCAGGAACGAAAAAACTCTTCAAATAAGATGATTTTTAGGTATTTATGATACCTACAGAATCAGGCCACAAGTAAAAATATCTGACTAATAGTAAAAAAGTTATGGCCGAAAACCGGCAAAAGGCAGCTTCTTGAAATTCTTAAAATCTGTAGGCTTTATACTTCTAAATAACTACAACAAAATTGGAGTCGATCGGTCGAGTAGTTTTTGAGAATTTGTAATTGTTTATCCCAAAACACCTGTCTTCTGGCCATCACTACTAGTTTAATTAACAATATACAAGGTCCGTTCGAAGGGCAATTTGCAGAAAAGAAAGATAATCGTTATTTTTACGCGAAAAACGAAGGGTTCATGTTTGTGAGTTATTGAACAGATTCGCCTCGATATTTTGTAAAAAATATTAGTATAAAAATATTAGAGCCAAACTTCACGGGCGATTGTCCGCGCCGTATGTTACGCGACGGTTTGCACGTCCTTTAAAGCAGCGCAACCTGACACAATGGGATCTATTTTGTTACTAGCATAAAGAAGTGGTATTATTGCCGTGAATGTACTCGATGGAAAAATCGTATAGTTTGGCTCTTAGACATATTTTATACATCATAGATTTGCTCATATATCTGCCCATACAATTTGAATGCCGTGTAGTTGAAGCAAAATATGTATAATAAGGTTATGGACTTCAATTTCAGGCAGCATATAGTACGTTATCATGACGCGTTAACGGTCGCTAAATATCGCCCGAAATGCTCAAGCTCGTTATCATAATTGGATTTCTAGAATGGACTATATTGACCGCAGTAACAGCCTAACACACGACATTTGAAACAAATAATATGCAACAACTGTATGTCAATAATAATTAGACCAGACAAAATACAGCAAAAAAAATTGCAGGTTTGCAAAAATTCCCACAAAGCTGAAAATTTGTACACAGCTTAAATACAGTGGCGACGCGTGACTTCCTAAACTGTTACCAAAACCAGATGTGAAAAATCTTATCAAAAGAAGTTTATTTTGAACCTCCTTAATGTAAATTTTTGCTTATCTTAGGTCTTTTATTTAAACTATTTTTAAATTAAGGTAAACATTCCTGGACTGAGCGTCTGAGGCAGTTGATATACCTCATCGTCTTATGCTATGACTAATCCAAGCCGTCCGAAAAAACAATCTACGTTTCTAGATGTTCGGAAAATTTTTAATCTTTTTGGCAATTTTAACAATTCCCTGTAGTTTCCTCTATTGTCAGAGTCATCCCCTTCAAAATGAACGGTAACTCCTATTTTGCCAAAAAACGTACGGTATCTAGAAGTGTGCTGCCTAAGAGATTGGTTAAGACAACTTTCGATTCTTCTTTTGACAAACTGAATTAAATTGGCTACACATCTCACATGTAACGGAGAAATTTCATGTCTCCTCTTTAGAGCCCTAAAACTGATCGTTGATTCCGCTGCTGGTCCACCCATTTTTTTCTGTATAAAACAATACAATCAATACAATACAATCTGTTTTTTTTACAACCACATAACCAAGAGTTTCCATATACCAACTTAATTTAAAATATCGAACTACGTTCTTTATTCCTTTTTAAAATTATTTAAAATAGGTGTTGGTCTTCCATCTTCAATGATCTCCTTTTTTTTCTTAAAAATTATACAAGGAGAATGACTTTTCAAGTAGCTGATCAATTACGCAGCGACACTCATCCATGTTTAATTGCACGCACACTACAGCCGGTAACCAAAACGGCTACGAACGAGTGAGAAGTGAGTAACCAAATCAAAAAATGGTAACAAGCCCAGATAATAGTCGCAGCGCCCCACGCACTCGGGCGCCGGCGATCACACACGAGCCGGCACCGAAGGTCCCCAATGGACTACCAAGTGTATCCATACATGAAAATGGTAACAACCGACAACCAAGTCAGCTTCATCGTGTTCGCAAAACCTAGACACTATAGGTCGCATTATTTTCGTGGAGCTAATTTGCTATTCACTGAATTACTATTACATATCGCTGTTGGTAAACAAATAAATGAAATTATTTCACAGAACTTAGTCATAAAATATTTATTTTTAAGATTTTTAACTGTTACCTATGGCAACACTGGTTACATGGACGCTTCGCCACTGCTTAAATACATCATTATGAATGAATATATCAAAGCTCCTCATACACATATATCCTTGGAGCGAGATCTTGCTTTGTTTCGTTTGAAATGTCAAATATATCACGTTTTGACATATTTCTCTAAAAGGAAAAGAGATGCCACAAAGTTGTAGTTGTAGAGAATACAAATATCTAGAAAGCTTGTTCAAGTACTTTTATACCGTTCAAGAGATTTGGTGACTTGTGGACTCTGAGATACTCTTCTGCTCTTGTGCGGCATATATTACGTGCACGTCATCGACCGTCCGATATGATCATACACGAGGGCGGTTCAATAAGTCCTCTTGTTTGACAACAGAGGGCGTTCCTGAGGGACGTTAATGTTATGATCGTGTGCTGCCATCTATCAGACGATGGCACAACAAATTTTAGACTGATTGATAAGTTAGTTTGGATTTGGCAGCCATTCGAGGAACACGTGTTTCGGGATTTTCGCTAAGATGGAAAAAGAGCAGTATCGTTAGTTAATTCGCTTTTTGTTTTTGAATGGGGAAAAATGCGAGGAGATAAAAACAAGGTTGGATGCTGTTTATGGGGGTACTTCGCCATCTATGACCACAGATTGGTTCAACGAATCTAAAGGTGGGCGAACATCCGTTTTTGATGTTCACCCGATCAGGCCCCCTGCGACTTTTTCTTTTTCTCTGACATGAAGAAATGGCTCGCGGGGAAAAAATTTAGCTCAAACGAGGAAGTCATCGCCGAAACAGAGGCATATTTTGCAGCGTTCGACAAATCCTATTTTTTTGATGGGTTAAAAAAATGGCAGGAACTTTGGGAAAAGTGTATCTTTCTAAAAGGGGACTATTTTGAAAAATAAAAAGAATTTTTTTGGAAAAAATGGTGTCTTCATTTCTAGCACGGGTACTTATTATATATGGGACTCATACTAAAATACATGCCACTTAAACAGGGTGTGCCAAAAAAGGTGTGATTTCTCTAAAAATGCAATCAAAGGTATATATACACAATTGAATGCGAAATGCTTAAAAACTAAAAAAAAGAAGGTAATAGTATTGATCTGTACCATTCAAATACATCCTGGTCTGCTTAAGGTACGCTCAAAATGAACGAAATGGAAGTTGTATTTTCGGAAAATATTCGTATCTACTTGACAATTGCTTAAGGCCTTCAATATGCAATTGCAATTAATATATCAAGAGTCCCCATCGATCCTTGTAGTGCAACATTTTCTGTTGGAGGTTACATGTCAAAGTTTCCATTTTTATATTTCTCTGGAACGGTACGGGTACTCATAAAAATAGCTCACACCAAAATTGTCGAGCATGTAATTCTCTACAAAACTTGCCCAGTTACTTTTTTGTCAGTCGCTGTTTATGCGTTTTTTGATATATACGTATAGAATCTAAGCTACTGCTATGGCGCGTACGCGGCATGCTTTATTGTTATCGCTCGTTTGATATCAACTGAGATATGAAAGCAGAGATATGTACATCACGTACTAATATAAAAACGTACTCGTATCACTTATACGTGGTGCTTGAGAATTAAAGATATGCTAGTGGCTCTGAAGAAAAATTCGCAATAACTTGAAAAGTGTTACTGACCTTCAGTCTGCTGTTGCAAGTAATATACCAAAGTTCCTATTCATATGTTTAACTAAGGCGTACTTCCGCACTTAAGATCAAATGTAATGGGTACATTGTACCATATTTTTTGAGCTACTAATCATAAAAATGAGTTTGTAGAACAGGTACTGCTTCCGAATAACTTGTTACTTGAGCCATTTTTCTGAACGTTTTTTGTAACGTATTCATCACTGTCGTGAAATCAACTATTCAATGCTTCCACATATACGAGTAAGTTCATATCGAACGGTCGATGGCGTTTATGTTTGCGATGTAAGAGCAAAAGAGTCTCTGGAGTCCGCTCATCACTAAATCTCGAAAACGATGACTCAAGTAATAGAAATACTTGAACAACTTTTATAGATAATTGTATTCGTTGCAGTTTTTGTATAACGAGTTTTGTGATATATCTTTTCCTTTTACTCAAATACGACAAAACATGCTATTTTTGACATTTTTCCCAAATAAAAAAGGTTCCGCTTCACGGATAAATGAGGAGTTTTGATATTCAAGGCCTGTACTAATTTTCAGCTTTGTGGGAATTGTGGCAAATCTAATTTTTATTTTGACTGGATTAAACGCTGTCTTTCCTAGCTAAAAAAAAAAAAAAATTATCTGTAAATATACCAATACGAAGTGTTTTTACCTACTTCCAGATACATTTGCGTGGCAGACTCTGGCAATAACCGCATCCAGATCTTCACCCCAGACGGTCAGTTCCTCAGGGCTTTCGGCTGCTGGGGCAGTGGAAAGGGCGAATTTAAAGGACTTGAAGGGATCGCCATGTCTCCCAACGGACACATCCTTGTGTGTGATCGAGAGAACCATCGCATACAGATATTCTAAGTTTTTGTTTTTATCAATCTGTATTTTCTTTTTGTGACAATGAAATTAACCAATGTAATTTGTGTGATGATTAAATAAACAATGATGAATGCATTTAGACGATTGTATCAGTATCCTACTCCCTGCACTTCTCGTGCTTATCAGAGCTGCTTTCCAGTCAACAAACCAGTTGGGCTTGAAGCCCATGGGTTTTAAACGCGGAGGCTTCACATCCCAGACGACCGACGGCCGGAACGTAACAAAAGGTTGTTTCGACGTATACAGGGTCTAGTAGGAAAGTTTACTTTTTAATTTATGAAAAAAAAACAAACTTAATGAAAATAACATATTTCTACTATCAACATACAGTGGACCCCCGATAATCGGGCCCCTGTCTAATCCGGCGCTCTCTGTAATCCGACATGTCTTTGAATATGTATTACATACATACGTATTTGACAATCTTCGCTAATGTAGATCACGCAGGTTTAAACAGGGTACAACTTGTACGCGCCAGTGGCGCCAGCGCGCCACCGCTATCGTGCTCGACGCGTAAGCATTGTTGTTGTTGATAGCGGTACGGCCTAGCGTGCCTTCATTGTTTACTATTTATTCATTGTGTATTAAGTATAGTACCTAGTAATGTCATCACAAACTCAGAAGCGAACGCACAAATCATTGACAATTAAAGAAAAATGTGATATTTTAGACCGCTTAAATCGCAATGAAACTTTGAGTAGTTTAGCAAGTGAATACGGCGTAGGCCGATCTACAGTTTATGACATTAAAAGAAACCACGAGAAGATCAAGAAGTTCGTGTCAACTACTGACTGCGCGCCAGGCAAGGACAGACACTCAAGAAAGCTGAACATCCAGAAGTGGAAGAAGCTTTGTACATGTGGTTTCTTCAGGAAAGAAATAGGCATGCACCAACTTCAGGACTCATGTTGGCCATGAAAGCAAAATTTTTTTATAAGGAAATAACAAAAAGAGATGATTTTGTGGCCAGCAAAGGATGGCTAGAACGTTTTAAAAGTCGTCATGGCATACGTTTAATGACTATTACAGGAGAGAAACTTTCTAACGATGCCACCTGCATAGAGCACTTTAAATTAAGATTTTTGCAATAGGTGAACGACTTAAATCTTGCCCCGTCACAGGTGTACAATGCAGACGAATCAGGGCTTTTTTGGCGTGTGATGCCTAAGAAAACTTTCGTTTCTTGTAACGAAAAATCTGTACCTGGACGAAAAGTAAGTAAAGAACGAGTAACCATACTACCATGTGCTAACGCTGCGGGCACACACGCGCTTAAGATGATGGTCATTGGGAAATCTAATAAACCACGGGTATTCAAAAACATTGATTTACCTGTACACTATTACGGACAAAAAAGTGCATGGATGACAAAAGACCTTTTCAAAAAGTGGTTTGATGAAAGCTTCGGCCTGAAGTTAGAAAATGGTTAAAAGATCATAATTTTCCTCAAAAAGCGTTGTTGCTTCTTGATAACGCTCCCGGTCATCCGTCTGAAGAAGAACTAACAACTGAGGATAAATGCATCACTGCGATGTTTCTTCCGCCAAATTGCACTGCACTGATTCAACCAATGGACCAGAATATCATTCATTTTGTCAAGCAAGACTATAAGAAAAACCTACTTCTGAGAGCCGTATCAAAAGACCAACCAATAGAAAAAACTTTAAAAGAATTTAATATGTAAGACTTGGTTTTTGCTTTTTGACAGTCGTGGAATGCGTTACCGTCATCAACTATTAAATCGTCTTGGAAAAAGTTATGGCCAGATATAATCACCACTCCTAGCAACGTACCACAAATCAGTGTTACTTCGGAAGCTATAGAACAAGTCGCTACTGAAACACAGATAAGTCCGGAAGATTTGGAAATCTGGTGCCGTGGAATGGATAAAGAGGAAAATGTTTTTCACGAAATGTCTGATGAAGAGATTATAAAAGAGGTTTCTAATTATACAACAAACAATCAGGAAAATAACGACGACGTGATTGCAACTGCCCCACAAGTCACAGCACAAGACGCAATTAACGCCTTTGAGCTAGGTTTACAATGGGCTGAAGAGAATGGTACATCCTACAACGAACTTTTACTTTGAGAAGACTGAGGGACAAAGCTCTGATCTCGCGTTATAACAAAAAAAAAATGATGAATATTTCCAAGATTCATAATTTGATAAATTCATTAATGATTTTGATTAATAATTCTTGATTATTTTGGTACATAATGTATATGCATTTATGCTTAATTTTATAATAAAACGTAAGCTCTCTATTGTTATTTAATTTACTAAATTCGACATATATAAACTATGTATGATTTGTACTTCAAAGTACATACATATACATAACATATATAATCTTACCATTGGATATGTAATTTGTCGGATTACAAGGTACAGCCCGGAGATTATGCATAACGAATGAACTTCGCACGTGAGATGGAAGCACTGATCGATCAAAATGAGAACCTCAAGGCTAGAGTATACGTGAACAAGCCCCGAACTCTGGACAAATTGAAGGGCGAAATTCGCGTGGAAGTCGCCAAGTTGAGAGAGCAATGTTGGAGAGAGTCTACGCGAACTTCCAAGAACGCGTCCAGCACTGCATCAACGATTTCGGCCACCACATGCCTGATGTGATTTTTCACACTTGATTGTCTCAAATGCTATTTCTTTGTGAACCTGATTCCATCAATAAATTTGTTTTCGAGTAAAAATTAACTATTTTATGGTTTTTTTAAAACCGTATATCCGCTCTGCCGCACCCTGTATAATGGTTGTTAAATATGTTTGATAAAAATTGGTTCATCTGTTCAAAAACTATGGGAAGTCAACCTGGAGTATAATGAAAGTAGATCAGTTAGTTCAAAATTTAGACCCACTTTTCTGTATGATTTTTAAACCCACGAGAGAATGAACTCCCAAACGGAAAAACTGATTCGATTGCGGTTTTTTTAATCAAAAGTGATTCACTTGAAGGTCGGATTTTTCAATTTGCTAGCAAATTTCCTCCCTGTATACTGTAGATGAAGGAGTTACAACCTAAACGTAATGATAGGTATACGTATTTCCCTGAATACTTATTGCTAAGCCGATTTACCACCTGAACATAACAATGCGTTTAATCTGGATATTTGCATATTTGAATGTATCAATGGTCAGCATAATAAGGCGAAAGCAACATTAACGATTGCAGGTACCTGAAAATATCTGTATATAAGCCCTGACTAACTACAGGGATGTCAGTTCATAATTTGTATCTGTTTGTGGTAAATGTGCTATTAACGAGTGGTCCGATTTTAGTTGCTCCATTTTGTTATAAGGGTAAGTCAAATAACATTCATTTTACTTAGCTGAATCACTTGGAGATGGGAAAAGGTGTTTAACGAAAATTTATTGTATAGTTTGGAAGCATTTTTTTCTGTTCACGCTATTCCTAATATTGGAAAAATGGCGCCCAAAAACTCCCTTTGACAATATCTCCTTTCTGGAGAGTCCTTAAAATTAGACCTCACAATATCTTCAAGGTAATAATTTGTTGTCGCATTGATTAAATTTTCTCCATGCTGGAACATGTTGATCAATAGTCATTGCAAAAGGAATCGTCAGTTTCTACCGATAAGTTTATAACTGTAAATCGGAAACAACAGCATCAATCTAAAGCCTTTGATGTGACATCCATAACTAATTCAGGTCCACAAAATGAAAAAGAGGTATGCCTGGAGTTCCTCTATATAGGATATGTCCTGAAAGTTGGGACTTTCCTTTTCAGAAAGAACTAGGTTTGTAATAACAAGTCGCAGTGAAATAACAGAGAAAAAGTAAAAAAATAAGTGATAAGTAGCTACTGACCATTCATCGAAAAGACATTTCAAGTACAGCTCTGTCACTTGTAAGTATTGTTCCAATTTGTCTGCGATAGACTCACAAACACATGTAGGTATGTGATCGACATAGCCAATCATCGGTGTAAAATTTTTGCCTTCCCGAATCAATGCAGCAAAGTGCTAAATTCGCACATGTAGTTCGTCAACCGTCAACCTCAGTTTTATACACATTTCGCCCCAAGCAAAAATAATAAATAACGGAAGAACTTTAAAAACGATCTGCATGCACTCGTAAAGTCTCATTAGCATTTCGAAGACATCGTGAATTAGTGTATATGAGTATAATAATAATAATAATTTATTCATCCTGTGGATCACAAAGTGATATAGGATAAGTCAATTGAATATTAGTATAAACAGAATTGCCTACATACAGAAATAACATTCAAAACATCAAATAAAAACACGAAGTGTACAAACATGAAAACGAATTAAAATAACAAATTAACAAATTAAAATTGAACAATACATTAAAACAATTAAAAAAGACTATCACTCATTAAAAACTCTTCTGTAGAGTAGAAAGCTTTATCAAGTAAAATTTGTCTGATTCTTTTTTTAAATAATATCAGCGGTAGTGATTTACAATCAATGGGTAGTTTATTGAAGAGTTTTATTCCCATGTATTTGGCACTCTCCTGCGTTCTAGACAACCTATGTGCCGGCAAATCCAATACTTCTCTGTTTCTGGTATTATAAATTCCAGAATTTATAGAACTAAAATGTTCCAGGTGAGTTTTGACGTAAATCAATATATACGTATATATACTGAAGGCAGCGTTATTAATATCTTCAAAGCTGTAAATAGTTCCCTGCAACTAAAGCGCCTTCCCACCTTTGCAATAGTTCTAATAGCTCTTTTTTGTATTATAAGAAGCCTTTGTACCTTGGAGGATGCTCCCCACGCTTCTATTCCATAAGTCGGAGTAGAATGGATATGTGCATGGTAAAACGTTAACAATATCCAGTTATCAACGATAAAACTCAGGTGGTACATGCAATAGCAAAGATCTTTTGACTAACTTTCTCTATATGCGTACCCCATTTGCAGTTTTGCGATATGTGTATTCCTAAAAATTTTATAGTTTCTGCTTGTTCCATGGATCTACCGCTTGATTTTATAAAGAGGCTACGATCCATGTGCATATTAGAGTAGTTAAATCTCAGGAACACTGTCTTTTTGTGGTTTAAGGCCCGTATCGTCAGTCGTCCCTACAATTGTAGGGCGCCTTTATGGCCTCCTTGATTGTCATAGTTTTCTACTTCTCCGTGTCAGAACTCTATTTTGAGGTTATGTCACAAACATCTATTTGCATCAAATTGTGCTAGCTTTTGAGTTATATCATGTTTTATCAGCCTGAAATTTCCTACAATTTAAAAGGAAAACAAATCTTCACAATAGGAGAGCGCTGATGCTGACACGGGACAAGTGTAATCTAGAAATTTTTGAAGGAGAGAAAGGTGTATGACAATCAAGGAGGCCATAAACGTGCCCTACAATTGTAGGGTCGACTGACGATACGGGCCTAAGTCTAGGCCGTTATTAATGAACCATTGCTCTGCACTAGCTAAGCTTGTGTTGGCATTTCTTATCACTGACTCCAGGTTTTTGACATTGATAAGTAATGAGGTATCATCAACATACATTACCGAGGATTTATATATATATATTATGTATAGGAGGGGACCAAGTATGGAACCCTGTGGAACCCCTGCATGATATAGGTGCTGGTCAGACTGTACACTCAGTACTTCAACATAATGTTGCTTAGATAACTGTGGAACCAGTCAAATGGCTTACCTCTGATTCCATATCTATCCAATTTATCCAAAAGTATTACATGGTCAACTAAGTCAAAAGCTTTACTCAAGTCAAGAAATATTCTTACACACTTTTCGCCATTGTCCATTTTCAAATACAGTTCATCAAGAAAATGAAGCACTGCGTTTTTGGTTGACAAACCTTTTCTGAATCCAAACTGTGAATAATTAATAATATATAATACGTTTAAGTCGGAATTGGTTGGTAGATTTGTAGCTAAATAACTATAATAATGATAATAATCTTTATTGGTGCTGTAGGATCATTTATCACGACATACAACACGTCAATGGTGAAGGTACTCTATCATCAAAAATACCAAAAAAGCATTCAAAAAATAGATAAATAAGAACAATATACATATGAAATACATGACAGTCTCAAAAATAATGAACAAAGAAGTACAACACTAGCTACAAATTAAAACAACGATTGGCCGAGTTGAAATATATAAATGAATAGGTAAATAAAATTCAAAAATCATTAATTATATGCTAAAAGTTGAAAATATATATGGGAGTAATACCAAGATCACAGTTGAAATTGTATTGCCAAGTTAAGCATATTGATCGTGTCTTGCTGAATATTTGAGAAATATTCGTCCAAAGAATAGTACGTGTTTTAATAGACCTTCAAGCTTATGCCAAAATAATGCCACTGGCGAGGTTTTAAAAGTCTTTGGCATTTTATGGAACAGCCTAATACCCATTTGTTTTGGGCTGACTTCTGTTCTTGATAACCTCTGTGCACGAATCTACTGGACAAGCGAATTCCTAGTCGAGTACTCATTATGGTAGTTTAATTTTGGAAACTCAGCTTAGTTAGATTTCACATGTATCAACAGCTTAAAGGTCTATATTTATATATATATACAGGGTGACTTTGAAGTTGAGTCATTAATTTTCAGATAATGATTGTAGAAATATTTGTGTAAAAATAAAAAATAAAAATTTTACCTTGTTTTATAAAGTATCCTCCCGACAAGTATTTCAGTGCGGACCTGTATTTGATCGTGAGGTCTTGGGGCACCGGCATGCAGTCCCCTGTGTGGTCTTAAGTCACCTGATTCACGAGCCCGTTGTACCACATTAACAAAGGCACGAGGGGTTGGTTGCACTCGATTGGGAAACCGATCCGCATAAACATGTGCCATTTTTTATTTCGTTTGAGCCACGCAACAGATACCACTATTCAAACGCGTTACCGACTGACACTGACTGTATACAACTGACTAAAATAATTGTAAAAACATCGTTCCAAATTCTTTCGCTTTTTTGTTTCCGATGCGATGAACCAAACACGAGCACATAATATTATTATTGAGACAGGGCGGTACTCAAACTTCCAAAGGGCTATAACTTTGTTACTTTGATTTTACCAGAAAAATGGTAAAGGAAAAAACATTTCTTTTGATCAGATCTACTCACTGTTAAAATAAATGACTCAACTTCGAAGTCACCCTGTATATCTCTCCAAAGTATTTATCAAAGTACCCTCGTAATTGGTACAGGGTTTTACAAACCATTAACCACAGTACATTAATTTATACACCGTTAGATGATGATTATCTCTTCTCTCCACGGTCCTACATGTTCCATGTCAAATATCAACAACGCTAACTGTCAACGTCAACACTGTCAATGACTGTCAACAAGCGAACAGGATACGTCAAGTGAAAGAAAACGAATGCTAATGTTGTTTAACCTTTTTCGCATTTATTTTTGTTTATATCCTTCCTAACATACCACTATTTATATATTCCACAGTAACGTCTTCAGTGAAAATGTAAAACAGTACGACAACAACAAAACGTGTGGGATAAGCTACAATCGTAAGAGAAACGGATACCTTCGCTACTATGGCCCCCGTACCTTTAGAGGGGCTCCAGACGCCTGTGGCGAACAGTGTGGCCCAGGGTGGACTTGGCGGACCGCAAGAGGGCAATAGAGGAGGCTCCATGTCGCTCGCAATGCTTATTGACTTCATCGTCCAAAGGACCTACCATGAACTCACCGTTCTGGCTGAACTGTACGTAATGCCTTATTTTACACGATATATTACAAACAGGGCAGTGAAAACCTTTGTATAGAATCAAAACTGCTGATGGTTTGTACATACCTTCATGAAACATAAATATAATGTTAACATACATCATAAAATTATTCTAGGTGAACACTTTCAACTCAAACGTTTTGTTGAGGTTCTTACAGGAAACTAACTATAATCATTCTGATGATGACAGTAACCAATTGTGCTATACAACCACAAGATTCCATTGAGCAGAATCAGAATGGGTCTAGGATAGTTTTCTGTCGCACCTAAAGAAGACTATGGGTTCACAGTACCCAGATTCAGCACCCCAGCTTGATTGAGCTCCCCCAAAATCTCTGAGTATCCCCCTACTGCTCTCCAGCACGCTTTAGTAAAATTCTAGTTGTAAATGATCACTTTACAGCAGTGATAGGTTGAAACATATTACATGACTTTTGGTAACAATTCAGTCTGTGTACTTGATTACTTTTCTGGCACCATTTTATGCACTGTTTTATGAAGCAGACCATACCAATTCTGAATTAAATTTCAACATTGTATTTGGCTCACTACCATTAATTTCACATTTCTTTTTTGTGCATTTATTATGGACTGCACTGTATGTAAATCAAAAACAAATTTATTTTCTTGTCCAATTTTACAATAAAAATATCTGATGTATAGGAACTAATTTGTGATTAAAATCACAATGTTGTATTCCAGGCTTCCAAGAAAAACAGACATGGAAAGGAAGATTGAAATCTACAATTTTGCAACAAGAACTAGGCAGCTTTTTGTTAGACTGTTAGCTTTGGTGAAATGGGCAAACAGTGCTTCAAAAGTAGAGAAATCTGCGGTAAGTATAGTATGTTTAATTATTCTATAATTTTATTTCAAAAGCAGGTATCTCCATTTGTGTACTCAACACCTAAAGAACTATTTCTTTAAATTTATGGAATCTGTTGGATGCTGTGTAAATAATCTTCAAAAAAAAACAAAATTAATACTTCATGTATTTTAAACACATCATAGATCAATTAGGTTCACTGGTACTACATAAAACCTCTTAAGGTATTTGGCATCGCATATAATAATAATAATAATAATAATGTTTATTGGAGTATATATGTACATAACATAAATACAAAACGCATAATACCCCAAAAGGCTGGGGGTTGGCAGTGCCATTTTTCACCCCAGCCTACTAAACTACAGATGTGAAACTTATTAACATATTATGGGTTAACAATGTTGAGTATATATAAAGTTATACATATTATATAAAAATAAATTCATTTTGAAGAGCCTGCATTTAAGCGGTTGTGGCATCAATGAACTGTAGTGGTAATAGCATTTTTTTAAATTTGCTTTTAAAATTATTGTTGGAAAATGGTTTGAAAAATTTGGAATAATCATTAAGAATAGATGGTGCCATGTAAAGGAAACATTTCTTAAATTTAGATGTTGTATGGGCCGGTATGTTGTAACAATGATCATTGCATAGTAATACTAATCGAAGTGATGACCGTTTCTCTAATTCACTAAACAAATACCTAGGGGATTTATATTTTAGAATTTTATAAAGCAAGGTGGCATAAAAAAGCAATGAACAATATGAGGATTTTAAAACATTTTCTCTGTTATAATATCTAGTACTGTGTTCTTGTCTGTGTATATTGCTGTGACACAACCTCATACAACAATTTTGAAGAATTTGGATTTTCTGCCTCATTTCCTCTGTCACAAAATTATAATAAACTGTAATTCCATAATCTAGATGTCTTAGAATTAGTGAAACAATAAGTCTTGCTTTAATATCACTTGGCAATAAATTTTTGTATCTCCAGAGAGATTTGTATTTAAAATAACATATTCTAAGTTTACTTAGAACATGGCCCTCAAATCATAAATTTGTATATAACATTATTCCTAATTTTTTATTTCATCCACAATTTCAATAATAGTTCCATTTAAAACTATATATGTATTAATTGCTTGTTTACACTTAGTAACTATCAACCTAGAACCAATGCAACAGACTTTAGTTTTGGAGGGGTTAAGTTTTAAACAGTAATTCCTTTGATAATTTTCTATAATCCTTAAAGTTATATTGAGGTCCATTATCAGGGAATTTATGTTATCTGGCCTACATGGTTTATAAATTTGTACATCATCCTCATAGAAATGTATAATCCAATTAGATGTTATACAATCTATCAAATCTGAAGTGTAGAAACTAAACAGCATAGGACCTTCCTTGTGGAACACCTGATTTTACATCTCGTAAAGTAGATATTTTACCGGAAATTTTTACACATTGGGATCTGTCAGTCAAATAGTTGATAAACCATTGCAAAGCTTTGCCAGATAAACCACAGTAATTTTCTACATAACACTGTGATTGACTATGTCAAATGCCTTACACCAAGAGTGTAACCATTCCATCATCCATAGATTTTACTATATCGCTTGTAATTTTCATAACTGCTGTCAACGTGTTATGTTGCTTCCTGATACCGGACTGTGTGTCAGATAGTATTTTATTCACTTCTAGATGTTCTCGCAGCTCGTCATCAACATTTCTTTCTAATAATTTTGACATAGCAGGTAAAACACTTATTGGCCTCAAGTCATTTAAGTCTACAGCATCGGCGACTTTTGGAAGCGGTGTTATTACTGACTTTTTCCATAACATCGGCACTTCTTCCCGTATCCAGTGACTGGTTGATGATTTCGGTAATTTGTTGTATACAAAAAGAAAATACGCTTTTCAGCATACTTGTGGTAATACCATCAGATCCAGGTGCGTTTGACCTTACTTGTATCAATTTTTCTTCAGTTTTGTCTGTTGTTACACGACAGAATGAAGATTTAGATACAGTTACTTATTTCTGTCCTGAAAATCTATTAAAAACAAATGGTTGGCCTGGACATTCGGTACAGAGTTGACAAAGTATTTATTGATACCTTCCACATCCTCAATTCCTGGCGATATGTGTTTGTTGGATTTTCGATGTATGTTCCATCTGGAAAAGTCGTTCCAAAGCTGTTTGGGTTTTTTTCTGTTTTTAAACTGATACTTTATATAAGCTGTCCTCTCATTTCTTATAGCTATGCTGAAATAATTTCTAAGCTCGTTGTAAAATAAACGATGTGTTTCGGATCTGGTTCTTTTAAACTGATTGTATGCTTTTTGCTTAAGACGTCTGATACATTTAATTGTATAGGTTACATAAGGCCTGTGGTTCTTATGTGATGTGACTCTTTTTACTGGTGCGTGTATGTCATGCAGTAAGTTAATATTTTCAGTAATGTAATTAACTTTGTCATTAAGATTTTGAAGTTCACTCATACAGCTCCAGTTGATGGTGGCAGCATTTATAGCAAATTCATCATAGTTGAAATGAGAAAAATCTCGACAGTAAAATACAGCAGGAGTATACTTTGGAGTGTTAAGGTTCAGCTCACAAAAGCACAATCTGTGATCGGTTATATCTGTACCATATTTACATATATCCAATGTACTTGTTCTATCATTGTGGCTGTGTTTGCGGTAAGTCTTCTAGGTTCTTTTATGACCTGGACTAAATTAAATAATGTCATGATATGCAAAAACTGTTTGCATGGTCCCATTGATTTATCTGTGAGATCGATGTTTATGTCTCCTAGCAATATGAGTTCATCATGGGCACTGTCCCAGAACTAAGGGTTTCTTCTAAGTCAGAGAGTATACCTGGAGTACAAGATGGGGGTCTGTAAATAACACCTACTGCAACATGTTTGTGTCAATTTTCACTGATAGCCACAGATACTCGATACCATTTGGTTGAATATGGCTAAGATCTAAGATTTTATACCTTAGACCACACTAGACATAAAAGCATACTCCATCTCCCCTTCCTTCTCTATCCTTTCTGATTAACTGATAATCAGGGAGAGAAATTAAGCTAGATGGGAACTTGGACATATGCCAAGTCTCGGTCACGGCTATAATATGAAAATCCTGCTCCAGAACAATATCTGAAAATATATCAAAGCTTGGAACTAGTGACCTGATGTTAACGTGTGATACATTTAGGGTGCTGCAACTGTTTGCTATGCCTCTACAGTCTGGCATATTGGTTTCCTTAGATGTAGTTTCAAAGTTGGTTCTTGATTGCTATATAGCATAATCTATGTTATTTCTAGCAGCCTCTAGTTTCTTTCTCATAACTGAGCAATTAACCTTATCAAAAGCAGAATGGTTCACGTCCACTTTTAGTTTAAATTTCTGGTTAATTGCGAGACAATTAGGGCAAGAGACATTTGAATTTCCACATGCATCGGCTATATGTCTTTCATCTCCACATTTCAAACAAAACGAGTCATTTGTACATTTGCTTGCTATGTGCTCATGTTCCCTTATTCCAGCGGCTATTTCCGGATTACCCTATACACTCTGTAGACTAATTTCTTAATTTGATTTGACACTATTGACGAAATGTCCAAATTACAAAATGGAATATATGGTAAAATGGCTGAAGATTACTCCCACGGCTCTGGAAACTATCGCCAACAGGTCCACGGACGTACCTCTTCCTGCTCTTAACTTGAACACCTCTGGTTTTAAATATTTTTGGCTTTTCTCCGATATTTTGAGGTATTTACAGTGAATACTAATTTAGTAGTCTACTATATAGAAACCAATGAAACTGAAAGGGTCACAATAGTTTCTGTTTGATTCCCTAAAAATATAATTTTCATAATAAGATCATCAACAGTATATTTTCAGAGAACTGGAAAGATTTACTACTGCTCAACTTTGATAAAATATTTCATTAATGTTTTATCAATTGCGATGCTTAGGAATGATTAGAACCATTAGATGGAGACAGTAGCATAGCTGTTTGTCCGGAAGGTGGCTTAGATTATTGATTATTATACAGAGTGTAAAATATTTCACTAGTGCTAGACCCTACAGCCTACATTATGCGAGGTCCCTATACTTTGTTGGAAGTTACCTTAAGGACTGTAGATCAAATTCTCTTGACATGAAGAAAGCTTCTGGTCCAGCGTGACCCCTGCTATTGTATTGAAGAAATGTGCAGTGGAGCAGGCCTATAGCTATGTCTTCTATTATAAGTGAGATGATGGCGGGATCTCCTCTTCATCTTACAATGTTAACACGGATTTTCTCCATGGATCGATCTTGGCTTCGACATTATACCTCTTACATATTAACGACCTTCCCTATACAATTAATCTGATCCATATGTTTGCTGATGACAGCACTGTTCTCTAACGAACAACCTCGGGGCCCTTTCGCATCGACGCGCTGTCAGCTATTTGGCTTTCTTCTACCGCTATATCAACGTACTTTGCTCCTTAGGGTATCGATATTGTGGAACAATCTACCTGAGGACGCTTTTCCCAGTTCTACTAATCTTAGGCAATTAACAAATTGGATTAACAAAGATCCTTTATGCTCCTCATAGCTATAAAGACATAGGTCTGACTCAGTGACCAATGATATTATGGAGTAGACCACCGTTACTAAAAAATGCTTTGATTTGCTCGCAAGTTACCAGCGTTCATGCCGAGCCTACTTGATACTTGGCAATTTTTATATTATCTGTAACCTATTTATTATTATCAAACACATCTGGGATATTTCGTGATACCTTTTCAGATAATCTCGCTTTTATTATTTTTCAATTCACTCTTTTAGTGGACCATGTTACAACACTTGCAATTTGTGCCATGTATCTGGGTTTATTTAATGTTGAGATTTTTCCCAACCTTCAGTGATTTTATCAATATCCATGCATAAATGAAGCTAAGACAAGATCATATTATTTTTCGGCGCTTCAAGCTATTTTCTTTGATCTTTGCTTATTTTTACTTATGCTATTTTATTGTAAAAATGGAGTAATTTTGCGTTGATACAGGGTAGTTTAATGAATGGTATCTAGATACATGTTTGTTCTATCCATATCACGTTTTTATTATACCATAATCACTGGCATTCAACATTTGTTGATTTGACAGCTATGGTTGGAATGTTACATGCACCTTATTCCAAGAAGTAACAAATAAATTTATATATTGCTAAGTTATGTGCTACATATTGAAGTTAATCGCTAATTTGATTTTCATTGTTTTATCTTTATTTTATCCATATTAATGTTATTTGTTAAACATGTATTTATAATATTTATTATTATTATTATTAATAATGTTTATATAGTATATATTGTTTGTACTTAAACCAAGAAATTTCAATTATAAGATGATATGAATATTTTCTAGCGTATAATGAACTTCCTGGACAAGCAATCCCTGCTTTTCGTGGAAACGGCAGACATGTTGGCGCGAATGGCGCGCGAATCGCTGGTACAGGCACGTTTGCCGAATTTCCACATTCCAGCAGCGGTGGAGGTGCTGACGACAGGTACTTATGCGAGGTTGCCAGCTTGCATCAGGGAGAAGATTGTGCCTCCGGACCCTATAACGCCAGCGGAGAAGAGGAGTACGTTACTTAGGTTGAATCAAGTCATCCAGCACAGGCTGGTGACTGGGAATTTGTTGGCGCAGATGAAGAATTTGAAGGTAAGCGTAAAATTTCAAAGCATGTCAATTTTAGTGTCCGACCGGCAGCAGCGGTGGCCGCAGTAGTAGACTCTTCGGTCTCCTGATCAGTCACCGTGCGCTGTGTGGGTTCAAATCCCGGTTGAAGTATAAAAAAATAGTATTTCAGTCGAAACCGAAAGTTCATTCCAATTTGAGTTTTGGCCAAAACCGAAACTTATGTATGATTAGTATGATATGGGAGGTAAGATAGTAGTGTATCTCCAAGAAAAGACGTGCTCAGTCTTTATCAATTATTAGTACTAATAATAGCAGTTCATTGTTAAAGAAAAAACAAACCAATAATACGATTTAACGTTGGTTTAGACGGAAACCTAGTTTAATTTGAAGATTTCTATCGCACAAGAACTTGAACCCCATTAAAAATTTTGTAAACCTAAATGTTCAATTTTTGGAGTTTCTGATATTTTAAGCGATGATTTGGGTAGTAGTGTTTTTTTTAGAAGAATTATTCAAATACCAAAAACAAAAACTATATCCACGAGATTAGACTAAAACATTTTTTAGGAAATTTAGTTTGTACAAACGGTTTTGAATATTTTGCCTGAAATTGAATCTGAACTGGAATTATGCAGTGATTTGTGAGTTATCTACCATGTTAAATCATATAACAAAAAAAGTACCTAGATTTCTGTAGTCATACAAAACTGAAATTCAGTGTTAATGCAACAGGCCATTAGAACGAAATCTAATAATTATAATTGAGCAACCTGATACAGGGTCCGTCAGAAAGAACGCATGTTTTTTAAATGAGTAATAGTCAAAATAAGTATGGGAAAAATATTTAATTATATCAAAATACTCAGAAATACATGCCATTTTTTGGGTAAAACAAAATTTACGTTCTAAAAACTATGTCTGCTATATGGCTCCCTAGAGCCGAAATGCAGGAATCAAACCTCTCCCGAAATGAGCCTGTTGCGTCGGCCAATATCCGTGCAGGAATTTGGATTACTCCTCTTCTTATTTCCTCCTTCAAATCGACGAGGGTTCGAGTCTTGCTTTGGTAAACTTTTGATTTCAGGTAGCCCCATAAAAAAATCACACGTTGACAGGTCCGGGGAGCGAGGGAGCCATGGAATATCGCCGGAGAGGCTTGATTCCTGCATTTCGGCTCAAGGCGCCATATGGCCGACATAGTTTTCAGAATGTTAATTTTGTTTTACTCAAAAAAATTGGCATGTATTTTTCTGAGTATTTTGATATAAGAAAATATTTTTCCCATACTCAGTTTGGCTGTATTACTCATTTAAAAAACATGCGTTCTTTCTGACCTTGTATTATACAGTTTTACAACATTCCTACCAAATTTGACCTTCGGTCTGTATAAATATGCCCAGCGGCACTATACATTTGCTGACTTGGAACACTAGTTGGTGGAGCTGAAACGTATTTCTTCAGAAAGGATACCGACTAGAATTCCAGTACGCAAAAATATCTGTATTCCTCTGCAGCCTTTCTGTTTCGGTTGTAGTTTCGGCGGATTTTCTGCCGAAACCGAAACTGATTTTGGACCGAAGCTGACCGAAAGTTCGGTCAGACACTAGCCAATATGTTCCTTCAGTAAATCGCCCTTGGATATCGCAGCTGTTGGGGAATTTTGAATCAGAGACATGTTTAAGGTTGAGCTTTGAGGGGTGTCTGTTGAGTGAGACAGTGGCAATACTAAGTTTTTGTGTTGGAAGATCGTTCATACACTCTTAAGCTGACGTCATTCTTTATCTATTGTTATTACTATGTTTGTGATAGGGAATATAGACGCATAAAAGGTCCTGGCATGTGGCCTATGCCTTGGTACTTCTTGGTTGCTGGAATGCCTCTTCATTTTATTTCATTCATTCATTTATCACCCCATTATGTGATATATTTCTGACGTTTAACTTCAATTTGCGCAACGGTCGATCTGATATTTAACCATTGCCTTTGGGACCCTATGTAACACCTTGAAATCAATCCAAAATCCTTGCTGAAGGGATCTCCAACATATTGAGATCATGAGTACTGATGAAGATTTGATTGAAATTTACATAATTTTCTCTTCCAGATTGAAAATGGCAGAGTGACATTTCATGTACCACACGAATTTGAAGTGTCATTAACAGTCATGGGTGATGGCCCCAATATCCCATGGAGGCTACTGGAAATTGACATATTGGTTGAAGACAAAGAAACAGGAGGTAATGAAACTACAAAAATTTGATTTTCATATTATAATTCGTGTTGTGATGTTTTTTTGAGTCATTGCACTTCGCACCATTTTTCCAGATGGCAAAGCCTTAGTTCACTCTCTACAAGTCCAATACATCCATCAATTGATCCAAAGCAGACTGGTGGATAATCCTCAACCTCTAACAGAAGTTTACAATTGCCTGCATTTTTTCTGCCAATCTCTTCAACTGGAGGTGCTCTATTCTCAAACTTTGAGACTGATGAGAGATCGTTTAGACGAACATATACACGTGGACGAATATATACCTGGGAAATGTTTGACTGTCTCGTACTGGAGGTAACTATTTTTGTAACGACTAATTTCATTTATTGCAGAATATTATTATGGAAACTACATAATTTAAGTACCATAGGTAGTTTAAATGGCAACATGGCGTACATTATCGGACAGCGAACAGTAAACAAGGCAATGTTGCCAATTGACGGTACCCATGATGCCTGAGGTGTATGGTTTTTGCGCTGACGTATGTAGAATTTTATTTGAAATGCGATCTCTTTGACGGCAACTATGTTCTGTTTTGCTCCCGCCAGGTAGTTCTTGTGTGGCTGAAGCAGTTGTGTATATAATACTTGAGTTCAGGGAGGAGGGGTCAAAACATCATGGCGGTGGTATTTTCGACTTTCATGATTATGTTTTCAAAATTGTAAATGGTAATAACTTGAAAAAATGAAGCACTTCCTACACAACGCTGACATCAATTCATAAGGGATTATATTCAGCACAAGTTAGTCCCTCTTAGAAAAACATTGGCTACGAACATGTATAACAAAGGAATTAAGTGTATCATACAATCGGTCGTAATTCAGCATGGAGTTTTATTATACTTGAAAACACGCTTGATGGCTCAGTCATTCCTAGCCATCCAAAGCAGAGAGGCGCGCGCTCTTTGAGTTGTCCGGCACTCGTACATCGAAGATGTATATTTATAATTCAAATTTTAGGGGCAAATGTACGGGGAAATATTTAATTTATGATACTTGTCTAATACGTGCGTAGAATTACAGAATAAATTACAGCAGATTTGCCGCAAAGGCAACCCTGCTGCAATATGTTCTACGAGGTATGTAAATTAAGTAATGAGACTGTTTTTTTTTTATTGAAATATAATTACAATGTTATAGCCACCCTCAAAATAACTTCCTTCTGAAGCCACCCAGATAGTGAACTAGCCTTCAGCTGTTCAGTTACATCCATTTGAATGTTTTAGACTGTCCCAAAGTGATTTTTCAACTTTGGGAAAAGAAAAAAGTCAGAAGGACTCAAGCCAGGCGAATCAGGAGACTGAGGAGCCACAGGAATGTTTTTACTGGCCAAAAATTTTTGCGCTGATTTTTATCATCCCCAATTCACTGGTCAAAATCTGATGACGGTGGTGTGAGTCAAATTTAACTCTTCCCCGATCATTCTGACTATCAACCGACGATCTGAATGTATAAGATCCCGGATTCTGTCGAGATGTTCAACAGTTCTTGAAGCCTTCCGCTTCGTGGTTTATCTTCATTCGACTCTCTCCCTTCTAAAAATGCCTTAAACCACCGAAAAACATGGGCTCTTGACAAAACATTATCTCCATTGGCACACTGAAGTTTAGCAAGAGTTTCTGTTGCACTTTACCCAAATCTGAAGCAAAATCTGATAGCGCACCATTGCTCGAAATTAATGTCACTCATTTTTAGAACACAATAGAAATATGTTACGGACAACCGAATGACTCGAGCGAATTCAAACTTGTACTGAAGGCAGATCACATGTTCCCTTGTCTCCCCTCCAAGCCCGGCGCCTCCAGTGTTGATAGATCGAACGCTACGTTACCAGTCTCATTACTTAATTTACAGGCCTCGTACTATTATTTATCTTTCATAAAAATTAAGTTTTATAAAAAAATACATACCTCAGATACCCTGCGAATGCGCAGTAGGTGGTACTCGTTTTGGGATCATTTTTTCTGATGTTGCTGGTTGTATACCTAAGGTTACCCTCATCCTATTATTTTAGGGAATTGACTATGAAAGGCAAAGAAAATGCTAATAAGGACTTAAGGTCAGAATTGGGCTATAAACTGTCAGTTCAAGTGGACTCGCATGACCCAGCAAGACCTTTGGCTGTGATACATGTACCGTCGTTAGGCAGTAAGGTAAGAATATGAAGAATTGAAGAGGTGCTAAAAATTAAATCCACTTCATTTCTAAAAAGACCCATGATGAAATTTGTTTTTAGGAGGATGAAATAGCCGATGGTGCTATAAGATCTGAAGTATTATCGATGGAAAGGCTATTGGTTCATACTATATATGTGAGGACAAGAAGTAGGCTTAATGACATTAAGTTGGAGTTGCAGGGATTATTGAAGGATACCGAATGTAAGTCATATTAAGAATGATGTGATTTTGTGTATCATTTGCTCTCAAAGCTGACACCGATCTCCTTGACATATTCTGACGTGTCTCGGGTATTTTTGGCGGGTTCAGATGAGGACCTAGGTGATATAATACTATTTGATATGTTTTCAAAGTACAAACTAAACATTTAATGTCCTCTTTTAGGCAATTTGCAGGGATCACCTGCGATTCTGTCTGTGGCGATACTCCAACCCTGCCTAAGGGCTGAACAATTACTGATAACTGTAGATACGCACACAGGCATGTTGCAGTGTCATGTACCCCAGTATGATCCGCCTCTGATACCGGAGTTGAACAATGTTTTGAATGGTGATCACACTAGGTTGACCATGTTGATTGCAGAGTTAAGGTAAAGTTTTTCGGTTGATCAGTTTTATATATTTGCACTTTGCAATACTTATTCTACTTGACAAGTGTTGCGACGGATTTGTGGCAAATATCCAGATATTTTATGCCACGTTTCCTCTACACATTGTTTCCTAGTCGCATGTCGATATTTAAGGAAGCAATTTTTGGGACCCTTTCAAGAAGAAAACTTCATATGAACGTATGACCTAGACGTCCTAACTTTTGAGATACGGGGTGGTATAGGTTATCAAAGGTAAATCAGTGCCAGTGACTTTTCTTATAATAAAAAAATGAAATCTACTCATGAGAAGATTTGATCTCTTAAATTTGTTTAGCCCACAGCACGATTTTCACTTTAAAAAGATATCATATTAACGATATTATCATGCAGAGAAACGGTTTTTATTTTTGAAGAAAAAACCGTGCATCGGTTGAAAAAATCACAGGGTGTTAAAGATTGGTGCCTTAGCCCCTGTGGGTAGCCTGCCTGCGCCATTTTACGAAAAGTCACTCGGTTATTATATACACAGGAAGCTTCACGATATAATAAAATTCACCCGTATTACGTATCTTGAGAAGTGACATTGTCGATTTTTTTTGACATTGTATTGGTTTTTTTGTGACATTATGTAGGTTTTTCTACAAGATGTTAACTTGGCACTAGCTGATAGACATGTTGTGAACTCGTTTTGTAGGTATACGCATTGGCTAAATGTCATGATATTTCAGTTATCAATGTTTGGCTATGGTGTGATGTATATAGTACATATATGACAATCATTAAAATGTCTAAAGTGGTAATTGCAGATATTAGTGATCCATTTTTGAAAACCTTACCAACCTGTTAAATGGATACAAACATGACTCTCTCAAATATTGACATTCAATTAGGGAACACTCTTCATATGCTCATATATACACTGCCATCCAAGGTAAATTCCTGATAATTGCGGAGAGGAGAAGGATAGCTGTGATAAAGCCTCACAGATGACGCCACCATATCGCATTACGTTATTACTAAGTTATATACCCGTTATTACCAGGTACTGGATTACACAAAGAAGGTGTGAGAAAACGTTGCAACATCTACCAGCTACAGCTTATGAAAGACTACCATTATTGCATCAACAAGATCATCCTATCAACAAAATCGGAAAACACAAAATGTATGTTCAACTGCACAGGCATCCTAACGTAGTACTGGTAAGTTTTTAATTTTTTTAAATCATACTTTATGAATGTTAATACGGATAAACCTACATAAGCCGAAGTCCAGAACTTTTTTAGCAATGCTTTTTTACTTTATAATTAAAGTATGGATTTTTATTCGTTCTTCTGACAAAAAATCTAATAGTGGAGGGATTTTGCAAAATGTGGAGTCAGATGACAGAAATCTTTCATCTCTCTTTCACGTGTGACGAAACGTATTTTTCGAGTCTAATTTCCTTTGGGTGTCAAATTTCTGGGAATATATAAAAACTTCAATTCTAAAAAAAATGTTTCTTCAGATAGTGGAATTGAAAGAAAAAGAAAACAGTCCATGCGAGATCGACTGCGCGTTCTACATGACAGTGGTGAAGCATTCTAGTTTTGAGGATAATCCTGATGATGACAGCATTGAAACTGAGATACCAAAAGTGTATCTGAAAATTCAGACCCTCATAGAGTTTGACACTTTCGTCTCCACGCATGGACCTTTCACCAGCATAGATGGTATGTTTTTTTTTTATTTTCACCACCTTAAAGTGTATATGTTAACTTAAATACTGTGCAACTCAGTGGTGTATTTAACAATGTATGATTTGATAAGGGAGTGGATAGAAGACCTATTCAGTGTTATTATACATGCTCACTGTGTTTCTGATACTTTTGTTGGATAGTGTTATCAATAACATACTGTAGATCTCACTAAGAATTACTATATTTCTTCCCAAGTTGATCGTTTAGTTTAGCTTATAGTCTAATCATATTAGCAAATTTCGCCGAAATAATTGTTAAGTCTGGTTTTATTGGTGGAGGTTGTTCAAGGGGGTAATTTTTATGGGAAAGCTTTTTATTTGTCAACAAAGAATTAGAAAATGTGTTTTGTTGGGATTCAATCGAAAGTGTTGACAGGAACTTTTCATGTAAGATTGTTAGGTATTTATGAGACCTGCCAAATGAGACCACACGTAAAAGGATCCGACTAATAGCAAAAATGTTATGGCCGAAAAACGAGGCAAAATGCGAGTTTTATGCACTTGTTGGTAATGCGACGATAATTTCACATAACTACTCGAAATTCTTCAAATCCGTAGGATTCGTACTTCTAAATAACCACAACAAAATTGGAGTAGATTGGTCAAGTAGTTTTTGAGAATTTCTAATTGTTTATCCCAAAACACCTGTTTTCCGGCCATCACTACTAGTTTATTGAGCAATATACAGGAATGGTTTGCGATTCATATCGGCAAGGTACACAAGTGTATTTTGCTATAAAATGCCTTTTGAACTAACCCTGGGTATTGCTCGATAAACTAGTAGTGATTGCCAGAAAACAGGTGTTTTGGGATAAACAATTAGAAATTCTCAAAAACTACTTGACCAATCTACTCCAATTTTGTTGTGGTATGAATCCTACGAATTTGAAGAATTTCAAATATCTGCGAGAAACCATTGTCGCATTACCAAAACCAGACTTTACAATTATTTCGCAAACCAGGGGTATTTTTGTCTAATATGATTAGGCTATTAAAGAGTTTGCTTATTTTTAGGATCTTGTGATGGCGATCATACTGAAGCAGGAAGTCTAAAACGGAAAGGTGGTTCAAAACCAGAGTCTGCCACCAGGAGATCAAAACATCCTGCTTATTTCATAGCGGAGTTAGCCCATGTAGTAGCAGTGTGTGATGAAAGACTGCCCTATGTCAGTCTTTCCAGTGAAGTAAGTACTAGACTGTAAATTAAGACTGTGGTTTACTATGAATATATTATAGTCTATTGTGGTATCTGCGGATTTTCATAGGTTTGAATGTTGGGATTATTTCCAATCTTCATATCAAGCATTTATTAGCTTTACCTAATTTTTACCAATTTCAAGAAGTCTGATTAACTTGAAAATTTGCTCAGGGGTCAAGGGATGATGACAATACAATAATCGATTTCATTTTTTTTCAATTTTGTATTTTGGAATTTGAAAAAAAATTGATTTGAAAATTTCAAAAATGATTGGAAAGTTCGGAAATTTGGAAAATAATTGGAATATTTTGAAGGTAAATTTATATTTCCTGATAAATATAAAATATACCAAATATTACATCTCTTAAACACAGGGTGTCCGCAAAGTTGGGGTTTTCCTTTACACGACGTGTAGATCTTGAAAACATAAGCAATTTTTCTTAGTACCATATACACCAATGTGTTAAGGGAACCGAGATAAAGGGCTCTGCAACATCAAAAATATCTGAATACCGTCCTGTAGCCGCGACATCACCGATTGGTACAAGGTCACTGGCTCAACCCGACGACAGAACTGGGTCGGGGTCAGTGTGTCAGGTCAGTATGCAACCTTCAACCGACGGTAACGGTCACGCGAGTAGAGGTAATCGCGTAGACGAGAATCCTTCAACAAGCACTAGAGACGTGGCTAGAGAAGTGCAAGTATCAAAAACTAAAGTGTGGCAAACGCTGCGTGAAGAGGGGCTGTAACCGTTTCACGTCGAACATGTACAAGCCCTTCAACCTGACGATTTTCCAGCAAGAGTGCGGTTTTGTGAGTGGTTGTTGCATCAACATGACAATAATCCGGACTTTTTGAAGTGCATATTGGTGACAGACGAATCTACGTTCACGCGTAATGGGGTGAATAACTTTCGCAACACTCTTGTTTGGTCAGTAGAAAATCCGCACGCTGTCCGTTGGGCACATTTTCAACAAACATTTTCGGTGAATGTTTGGACTGGCATGGTGCGTCTGCTCGGTAGCGCATCAGCTGATTTCATTTTCTGTTGGAACGGTATGATTTCGGGCAGAGAAGTACTTAGCCCTTCTCGTCAACTGGAGAGTGAGTACTTTTTCCTTAATTTTTTTTTACTTGGTCGCCCTCGTTTCACTACACATTACCTTTGTTATTTCAAGGGTAGTTGTTTCTGAAAAGGAAAACCCCAACTTTGCGGACACCCTGTATAAGTACTTTTGTTGTCGTTTCGATACTAAATATGTATTCAGAAAATAAATGAGAGTTTAAAAAAAAATAAAAAACATGCTTAATTGCAATTCAAACTAAAAAGTTCAAAAATAATTTTCAAGTATAGGAGAATTTGAGTTACTTTGAGTTTTTATCAATATCTCAATTTTTGTATTCTTATTCCAGATTAATCAGTCATACTTGATTGTTGGACTATTTATTGCAGTAACACAAACTCCCCTGTACTTTTTATTTTCTACTTTTCAGTTAGATTTGCTATTAAAGCTTGTTTTTTCAACTATAATTTATTAAATTGTGAATAGGATTATATTCTTCGATCGTCAAGTTACTAACAGAGGTATGAAGAATTTATTATATGACTTTTTTGCATTTTTTTCTAGCTGACAAAACGAAATGTGTTCCACCAAGGTGTGCAAGTAGAGGCCAATGCCACTGGTCTAGTTTTAAAACTAATCCAACTTCCACCGCCTACAAAAGAGATAGGAATATCCCAAGCTTGGCATGCATTGTTAAAAAGGCTGCTTTCAGTATCAATAAGGGCTTTAAGCAAAGGAGTATCGAAAAGTTGGATTGTGGAGTTCGTTTTTTATTCTACTCCTCTGTCTAGTACCCATCCTAAAGAACAAGGTAGGTATTTTGCATTTTCTAAAAAAACACTTTCTTATAAATCCATCCAATTTCGTCTATTTTAGCTGATGTTTAACATTTTTTTCAGGTTCCAGGCGCCCTATATATTTTCAGTATGACATGGCCACTGTTGAAAACACTTCAAAGACTGTTGATGCTTTGATCTCAGACTGGAATCAGATTGTTCATCTCTATACTCTTGTACATGATCTCAGTGAATATTTAAAAACCGGTAAGTAGGACTGTACAAAGCACCAATCAAATTATTGATGAATTCGTCAATTGTTAAGTGAAATATCACTTAATTGCTACTATTTTGAAGATTAAATGGCATTTAGAAAAAAGGTTAATAAAGGGTTTTCCATTAAGGACTTGACAACTTTCTTTTTAAATAAAATGCAAACCATTTGAGATATCTCGAAAATTTTGTTATTGGGCACATTCGCAGCGATCGATTCGTTAAACCCAATTTTCAATGACTGACCACACATTTCGACAGAAACGACAGCTTTCGGACGTTCGGTATTGGTTCTGAGCTCCTCTAACGACATCGGCTTGTTGGCTTAGACCAATGATTTAATGTAGCCCCACAAAAAAGTCTAGAGGTGTTAAATCACGCGATCTGGGCCGCCATTCGTCAGGACCATTTCTCGATATAATACGTTCACCGAATTTTAATTTCAATATGTCGATTGTTTCACCGACTGTGTGGCTTGTGGTACCGTCTTGTTGAAACTACATATCATTAATGTCTAGCCCATCTTATTGACCAACAAAATAACGTTGTAACATGTCTCTGTAGCGATCTCCGTTGACTGCAACGTGACGGTCATTTTCATCTACGAAAAAAAACGACCCAATGACACCACCGATTTGAAAACCACACCATACAGTTATTTTTTAGCCAAAAATGCGCCTCATCACTGAAGATGATTTTGCAATGAAATTGGTCATTTCTAGAGCCCAATTCGAGAACGTACTTCGGTTCATGTGATCGACGGCTTTAGTTTTTCAGTTAACTTGCTCTTATAATGGTGCAGGTCAAGATTTCTTCGCAAAATGCACCATAGTGTGGTCTGAGCGATGCCCAATTCATGAGAACGCCGTGGAATCCACGTGTTGTGTTCGTTAGCGACGGAAGCTTGAACGGCAGCAATATTCTCGGCATTTCGGCATTCGACTAACCCCTTGTCTCGGTGGCACGGGAATATCCAGCATCGAATATGTGGACTCAAATTTTATTACTAGACTAGAATTGCTTGTCCACTGGGACGAGAATTACGACCAAAAATTGGCTTACCGCTCTTAAAGTTGCAGTCGCCGAGTCGGAATTTCGGTAGTAAATTTGAATTATTTGTAAGCGTTGTTCGTTCGTGTACTTCACCACGATGAAAATTTTTTCTTTACTGAATGTTTTGACATTGACAGTGCGGTAATTGATTTATAGGTGCGTTCACAGTGAAAGTTCAAAGTTGTCAAGTCCCTATTGGAAAACCTGATATCGTGTATACTCTTCCACTGGTAGGGATCGCCTGTACGTTTTCAAAAATGTAAAAAAATAATATAACATCTGAAACTTATCATGTGGTTTACATGTCGGTATTCCCACATGCTTGTCTGGCCAATAAAAGCACATGTACAAGGAATCGTATTTACTGCAAATGTTTCAATCTCAAAGGCGATCTTCTTCAATGGCAATATATTTCATTTATCTGTCTTCCAGGTGACAGTTCGTTTGTTTTTTTTCATTATCACATTCTTATACAGGGTGTTACTACAATATTCTGAAAGTCCCATAACATGCTGAGGTTGCGCGAAAACATCATTCCGAATCTTAGGATGGCACCAAACCAAACCAACATAGCTCAGGTCTGCCTGAGGTAGGCATTCCATATTGAGCATGGGGCTATTTGTCATTTTTTAATGTACTCCAAAAAACCTGAAAACCCATCCTGAACTATTGCCGTAACACACTGGTTAATTGTTATGCAATTGACTAAAATGTTCTAAGTGCATTGTTGTGGATCTGAAACGCAAGATATACTACTCCGACATGTAAAGATATTAAGTTTTTTTAAATGTCATATGACATGAACAACACGATAAACCATGCCATCGGTCCAGTAGTGGCGAAGAAAAATACCAAAACGAAAAAAAAAAACAAATAAATCGCTCAAACTTCGTTTTTTGACGTTTTGGATTTTTGAAAATTTCTTAGGTATAAAAATATTGCAGAATAGAGGAGGGTATATGGCAATTTTTTGATGTTAGTATATTAAAACACTTCCAACCACGGTAATTCTACGCATTGACATATTTCACACATCATAGGCTCCCCATTAGATGTGCCCTTAAAACTTAAAAGCATAAAGACATTTTTTCGACGATCAGGAAATGGGAAGAGACGACGTTGCCAGATGGACGGACTACGGGTAGTGCAAGGAAATACTGTCTATGGACTAATTATATGGACCTATTTGACGGACTTGATCCGTTTAATTTCTATACATTTTCCCAAAAGATCTAACCTAAACAAGCTACTTTCGTCGGTCCGAGCAAAGACAGCCAACCATGGGCATCTGTCTCGTACTTTTTGGGAACTGGTCAGCATGGCTTGGTATTTGGTACAATGAACGAAATCATAGCAACTATCCTCTATCCAGGATATGAAATCTCTGGCACTATCTCATTTCGATAGAGTCTAACTTATGCTGAACATAATCCTTTATGAACTACTGACTTTTTTCTTCTAGATAAATACAGCTTCCTGGCGAACATGTTCCTGATAAAATCCTACAATTACAACAAGCTGGTGCTGTGTTACGGGCCCGACAAGGGCGCAATGGTCTCAGTCACGTGGAACGCTACAGAACGAGCCTTTAGATTAGCGTTTGGAGCTGCAAATAACGCCCTAAATGCTCATTCGTTGATCGAGGAGCAACTGGAGAGTCACCTCAATGAACATAGGAACTTAGCGCAGGTGATACAGTTGTTGCATGAGACGTACGAGCCGTTGTTGTCCATAAGCAAGCTGCCGACCAGTCCGCAATTGGGAGTACACAATAATGTGAGTGATTTTTGTTTTTCAACCGTTGCATTATCTACAGTTAAAAGACGTTTTGATATAAAAAAGCCCTAAGTAATAGCATTGAATAATGTATTCTCCAAGAAGATGCCCCATCGCATGATGTATTTGGACGTTCATTTACAATTTACGTAATCACAGCCTTGTTGCAAACTCGGAACGCGTGAAGGAGTAATTAAAACAGACTACATTTTGTTTAATGTCGTTGATCTTGATATCAAGCTTTCGATCAGCTGTGACATGCTACCCTCTTATGCAAACTTGCATCCTACGACGTGTCAGAGAAGCTTTGGGGTTGGGTGGTTGACTTCCTATCCAGCCGCAAGACATCCGTCGTAATTGCAAGTTTCTCCTCTTCATTTCACAATATCAACACAGGTGTTCTGCAGGGATCGGTCGTGGCTGCGACATTGTTTCTATTATATATCATCGACCTCTTTTTATCTACGATCAATCCGATCCAAATACAGGTAGGAATTCAAAGTGCCAAGCCGATTTCTGTCTGGAAAGAAGAAAACTAACGACGACTTTCTCTCTCACGAGGGACCTGGAGCTTATCACTGATTCTGGACGCAACTATGGTACAGCTTAATACTCCCAAAACACAGTAGTGTGCCTTTACTAACAAGCAGCGCCCTAGTTTCGATGGATGTTTCGAGTTCTACCAAAGGGCCGTTCATTTCGGCTTGTCGAGATGCAAATCACGGAGGGCTTGATCTGACACATAACCTCCCCACTCTGTACAAGGACCAGATAAGACATAGCCCGTACTACTGCTCACATCTTTAGGGTGCTGCGAACTTTGTATATCTAGAACTGGTCGGTATGACCAGTCCTTTGATCCTGTGTGTCGACATTATGAAACAATCTGCACGAGGAGGCTTTTCTCAATCCTAGTAATCTAGGCAGTTCAAAAATCGGGTTACCAAAGCGTCTCCAAGCTCCTTATAGCAGCCGCAGTGCCCCGGTACTTAGTCATTTGCCTAAGCGGGTTGTTTATTCTTAAACATTACATTAACCTTCTCAGAATGTTTCAACAACAAATAAGCAAATATCATAACATGCTGCAACACTCCTCAAGGTAGCAACTTTTATCCCTAAAGATGGTTGTCGATAGTTGAAAGAACAAATGTTTTGCGGCGCCGCGGTACCTATGCTTATTTTCGAACGAAGTCTTTCAGTTAGATTGGATATCCTTTGGTGGTATATGTTAATCAATATTACTAGTCATTTTTATGTTTTCTCGTATATCATTTATCCAAACGACTATCTTTAGAGAAGTACCATGCCCCAGCAATATAACCTAGGATAGTTTAACCGGAGTAAAAGAGTTTTGTGATTTATAAAAAAAATTGTTTGTTCAAATTGTCCACTTCTCGCGTGGGCGACTTATGCATCTTTATTACGATGCATCTGAGAAACGTGTTTGAAAATATTTTGGCAAGATAGACGCCGTTTCTGCATAATCTGTGTGGACTACTTTGACTATTATAAGCTTTGTTCCATCAAATCATAGAATTCACTTTGAACTAAACAGAGCATGCGCAGAATTAAATTACCGTTCCAACAGACAATGGAGCTGATTCCGTAACTGGCAGTTCTCTGTTTCAACAAATTCATAATTAATTCCGAACCGGTTCTAAACTGGTTCTCTAATAGTTCTGGTTCTAAAAGGTTACATTTGTTAGCACATGCGCGTTTATAGAATTAATGGCGTTAATCAGATTTTCATTTCTGGGAAGTTGCGTTTTGTGGCTGCGATTTTGTGCCTTTTCTACCTTTCCTTTTCAAAGCTTATTGTGCAGTTTGTTACACACATTCAAATAATGGGTGACAATGATGATTACTTTAGAACAGATTCAAGTGAGAATGAAGATCCTTAGCTGATTATAGGGAGTTCCAAGACCCATAAATGAAAATTAGATAGGCGAGCCTTGATCATTTTAATGAATTTGTTTCAGTCATGTTATTAGCAATATTAATGTTGGGTATTAATTCCAAGTAATCTAATAGTGTAGTGTTGTTAACATTCCACTTAATTTCCTCCTTTGCTGCTGTAGCAGAGCATGCTTCCTCTAAAGGCAAAATAATCAATTCCTCCAGCTCTAAAAAATACAAAATTTCGTACTATTTCTTTAAAATATTACACCGAGCTACTCATCTCTTGTTAAATCTGACATCTCTTTATCCGAGATTTTCTAAAAAGATGTACAATACGCCACATAACAAATTCTCACAAACTCCAGGTCTATTACACAGACACTTGATAATTTTAAATGTTGCTTCAATTAAGATTATGTTTACGATAAGCCATGTAATCCTCTGTTACAACAGAATAATTCGGAACTAGTTCAGAACTGCTTCTTGGAACAAACAAAGAGTTCCCAACTTATTACTTACCGTTTATTATCGTTTATTGATTTTTGTGTATATTGTTTTAGAGACCTCAGGTACCCGTCCAAACCTTCACTATTATGGCGCAATCCTCTACTTTAATTCGTCTGGCATATCAGGGGATGTATTGTTTGGAATTGAGAATAAGAGGTGGAGGACTTGTATCTCTCAGAGATGGAGCATATAGTAGGTGAGCAAATATACTTTACTACAATATTCGACATTAAATAAGTTAATTAATTATTGCTGAACTATTTTGGATAAAACTTTAAATTAATCTGATGTTTGTTGTTTTTAGATTTGATAGGAGCAATGTGGTTGATGTGTTTTGGCCAACTCAAGGCTTAAAGACATTCCTCTCTAAATATGTGGATGAATCAGCTGTGTTTAGGAGAAGATCTCAATCAGAGGATGATAATCCTCCTTCGCCGATGGAGGTTGAAGGCAGCGGATTTTTGAGTAAGTTGTTGTTTGTATATTCATATTTTACTAGTTGGTTCTTTAGAAACTATAAATGTAGTTGTGCAACGAAAGTTAGTAAAAATATGTAAGTAACTGAAAATTCTGTGTAAACTAGAATTTCAGGACATCCTAACTGAAATATTTCCATGTGTAATGCCCCTATACTGGACCATATAAATCACAAAGAAATATAAGAAAAAATACATTTTTTTCCTCCTGCTGTTACAGCAAAAACACTTTTTTATATGACAACTTGAGGCAAAGACGCTTCAATGTATTCGAAAGGTTGGGAAGTATAAAACGGCATATTACCAACCGGAAACAAATATTTCGGAATTTTTAGTTCGTTTTATCAACAGCTTTTAATAAACCTTGTTTTTAAAAATAGCTTTTTTTATTTTATTTATTTTCTACTTTTTAGTAAATAAAAAAGCTAGTTCAATGATTTCTATCTAATTTACATATATTTTATTAAACATATTTATTTACATTATAAGATTTCTTCGACGTAAATCATCTATAATCCCCTATGTTTGTGTAGCCAATGTAACCACATGTATTTGAAATTCTTCTGTAATGAAGTATACACAACGATAAGCTTCTTCAGTACCAGGTTCTTTTGACAATATTTTATTTATATGTCTTCCAGGTGACACTTAAACATCAGACCCTAGGAACAGAGTATTTGTCAATGATAATGAAACCGGTCCCAATTCATTGAGTTTACGTCGATTTATTACAAAGTTCCCATGACCAGTTCCCGGCTGGGCCATCAGATCCGCTCCATTTCATAATATCGCATCAGACGGCCGCCATATTGGATTTAGAGTGACGTCGCTTTACTTATTGTGCTTCGCTCATCAAGACTTTTCATTGATACCCATACCATACGGGTTACTACGTTAATGATAAATCGTAATTTAGCGGCTGCTGTCATATTGAATTTAGAATGACGCCAATTTGCCTATTGTGTTCCTCTGATCATACCCTTTTATTCTTTAACGTCCGTATAGCAGTCGCGGTGTCCCGGTATGTAGGTTTCTGTCTAAGTGGCTACATAAGTATATATAAGAAAGATTGTCCAAAAAATACACATTCAGTTTTGACAACTCTCAATTTCTTGCAGGTCACCATCGTAGCGGTCCCCAATCCCCAGCCTCCAACCAGCAATCATCCCAATCAAACCGCTCCCAAACCGACTCGACAGGCCTTCGTTTCCATCCACCTCTAACCCCACCATCCAGTTCCGCCCCACACACACCTGCTTCTCCTCATACAGTAACAGGCACAGGAGCACCATCCACCCCGTTTGGACTGCAACCATCTCCTATGGCGCACCCCAGCCCGGGGGTGGCGAATTCGCCGTTGAATCCGCAATTGGCTAGCCCAGGCGGGGGGTTGTTGAGTAACTCGTCACCTGGACCGCAGCAGCAACAGCAGGGGATGCCGGGGCATTCACCTGTGAGCAGCTATATGCCGTCTGGTAAGTCACAAATGTTTTCACCAACTGCAGTGGTCCCGCGATAATCTGGACCCTATCCAATCCGGTCCCCCTGTAATCCGACAGGTCTGTCACTGTTATAGTTTCTAGTTTGTACGCGCCACCACTATTGTGCTCGACGCGTATCATATTATATCACATTGTTGTGTGTTGTTTATTCATTGTGTGTCACATGTTAATTGTAATCACCGTTCTTGGCGTTTACGTCATCAATACCATAGGAAATAAGTAAACAGATCGATTCTCCGTACCATGGGCGGATCTTAATCTTCAACGCATCTGCTACTCTCCCCAGTATGCATGAAGTGGGTAACAGGGGACCGCTGTTTTCATCCTCTTCCTGGAAATACCCTAATAAATTCAGCACGAGCTGTCGGCCTTCTCCATTGATCGTATATGAATTTTTAATTTTTGATTATTCATAATATCAGGTGAAACTCTTATATTTTTAGTACATATGTAACATAAATTTGATTATATGTTTTTGTAAGTTCTATCGCACTGATGATACTTATATGATAAAATATTAGCTCTCCATTATGTTATTTAATTTACTAAATTCCACATACATATACATTTACATAATTATGTAGTATGATTCATAGTTCAAATATCTAGATTCTTTGATTTGTAATTTCTCAGATTACAAGGTACTCTTATTCAATAAATTCCGGCCTACAGGGGGTCTTAGGTCTATAATCCGACAAGTTCGATAATATGACATTTACCTTGCAAAGCGTTTGTCGGATTACCGCAGGTTCACTGTATACAAAACCAGGATCACTCTTTTCCACGAATCAACCATGTCTCAGTTTTTTCACCAAAAGCGACGCAATTTCAAAACTACAGGTTATGTAGACGTCATGATCTCATTGACTCGAGCGTTCAAAGAACTCAGCAAGTTACTCCCAATTCTGCTAACTGGGGCATGTAACCTGTCGAATATTGAAGCACTCGGTATATGCGAGAAGTTTTTTTTACCAATTTTCGAGGTTACTTATCAGTCATAAGAAATAATTAGACAGATTGACAAACTGTACTATGAATGGAGTTCAATTTTCCTTCCGAAGGATAATTCAACACTGCTCAACTCAAAACTTCTCTGAAGTAAGAGCATTGTTTTCTTCACTTTCTGGAACTGTTCCAATAAATTTAGCACAAAATCAAATAAAGGTAAACTCATCGCATGCCTATGACAAGTGACTTGTAATACTGATAGTGACAAGCATAGTTGCAGAACACTCGTACGTATTTTGAGACAGCAAACAAAATGAAAAAAATTGATATTCTTGCCCTTTCACAACCATCGTTCGCACTGGGATGTAGATTGCTTGTCTTTTACTGTAATAACCTCTATAATCAGTGGAGAAAACTATATCCTACTGTGGTACTTCGATGCCTTGCACCTCTACTGCGAACCTGAATGTATAGCTATCCATCCTCGCTGTTCACTAGCAATATGTTTATCAACTGACTGTTTCAATTTTCCTAATCTCAACAACTGTTCTACATGTTTGAATGACTACTGATGGAAGTATGTTGTCAACGGATAGTCTGCCTTCCATTTCAATCATTCTATTATCTATAATAAAATCCTGAAACTGATCCAAATCAAACATACCCCAGCGTTTGTCTTCTTTCTATAATTTATGCTTTTTTATCCTAGGTCACCCAGATAGCAGTCCATTCGCCTCACAATCGCTGTCATCTCCAGCTGCTTCCAATTGGCCAGGATCCCCAGGTATGCCAAGGCCTTCACCTGCAAGACCTGGGCAGTCTCCAGGAGGTCATCCCATAATGCACAGTCCACAACAGCAGGATGGATCTGGCAGGCGTAAGTATTTTTGCGATGGAATGTCAATTCTTGACCACAAAAAGTTTATACTAAGTTGAATGAAAAGTGAAAAAACTGACCACCAAGCTTCAAACTTAACGTTGCAAACTTGTCTGTTAAATTGTCCCTGGTTTATCCCAACAATAGACCAGATGTTCACTGCTCTTCTGGGGTGAAAATTGATTTATTTTTCCAGTTGGTATAGGAGGTCATTTATCCAGAGTGTTACCCCAGAGATCATGGGCAGGGGCAGTACCAACCTTATTAACCCACGAAGCATTGGAAATTCTTTGCTGTCCCGCGGTACATCCTCAAGGACTACCTGGACCTGAATTGGCACCGTTAGAAAGGTTCCTCGGTTGTGTTTTTATGAGAAGACAACTCCAGAGGTTTATACAGAATGAGAACTACGTAAGTTGAAGTAGAGATAATTTAATATTCTAATATTTAATGCATTAATATTTGATTTTGATTTATAATGATTGTGACTTTTCACAAAAATCAGCTGACTTTGGGAAGAAATTGTCATAGAAAGTGTGAGATCAGTCAGGCAAAACTATGTGTTACAATATTAGGCCACTTTAACAGAATCACTCGTTAATAATTTTATCTTCTGTCTTTTGCTTACTAATGTTACCATGTTTTAAAAAGCGGAGGGATTTGGGATATTTCAGAATAAACTATTAGTCAGGCAATATTAGAAAAAGTAGTGAGGAAAATCTCAAGGACTTTTGTTACCACGTTTTTGAAAACAATCAATGCGGATAGATTTGGTATATTTGAGGATAGGCTATTATTCAGGCGAAATTAGAAAAAAGCAGACAGGAAAATGTCAAGCAATTTTGTGTGGCGTTTAAAGGGGAGATCTACCTACTGTCAGATATATTATGGCTTGTTCTCATAGTGTTTATTATTTCAGTTGACGTCCATTCCAAACACAGAACCTGGAGTAATTCTCTTTAGGGTAGCAGATATGCAGTGTCGTATTGGAATGAACCCTCAGCATTTGCAAAGTCTGCACCTGAAAATCACCCCACTTGCGGAACACAAGGACGTTTCGTCACAAGAAGAAATTCAGGTGAGAAGTCAAAGCTTTCATTTCATTTTTGATTGATCTGAATGTGTGCTACAAATATCGTTTAACGTGATTTGTACCAAAGTAAACAAATTCAAGAGTAGGATGTTCACATTGTACCCTCTATTACTAAAGCCTAGGTAATTATTATTCAGTATTAGATCATTCAAATTTATCATAGAACCTGACTAGAAACCCAATTGTTCAAATTATGTTTTTTTTTTCGTTTTTTGGAACTTACATTGTAAATTTTGATTTATTATGGTTCCTTTTCGCTTGTAAGTGTATATATATTTGAATAATTATTGTGTAATTGAAGTATTAATATTTGGACTACCGTGAAACATTATTTTTGTTTTGTACGCATGCTTGGAATCACTGTTTGTGATTAACTGTCCTCAGTTGCGTTGAAAAGCTTCAGCTTCACTTCACTGAGGTAAAAATAATGGCCATTTATTATTATCAAGATTGTTTTCTAAAGCAATTGTCTTCTTTTTGCAGATCTTGGAGAAATTCTTCGACTGCCGAGCCGCCGCCCCGCCTTACAAACCTCAGTCGATGTTTGCCTTTTGCAATGCGCTGAACGCACCTCCGAACGTGCTACGTGATCTGGTGCAAATAATGCGCGTTGAGTTGGCTCCAGGGGCGTTGCAACAGCTGGGCGCAAAATGGGCGGCCAGGTGGTTGCTGAGAGTGCCGCCCGCCGCGCCACCTATCGTACCTGTCGGCATGACGGGAGTGCTGTTGTTCAAGGGGAAGATTGTGTTTTTCGTGAGTATTTTATTAAAATTCTTCATATTGGTCTTGGATGATAGTCCTTATTGTGAAGATTTTTCTTTCGTGACATTACTTTTATTTGTTATTGATACGCCTTTGGGCAACAATCTTTGAAATTTATATTGTTATAATTGTATTTTTATTAAGTTAACAGCTAGGTTCATCGTCTTGGTGCTCATAAACTAAGTCCCGAATTTACTATCCTAGGGCGCAATTTCGACCAATACGAAGCCGTTTTCAAAGTAATAGTTCTGATGAATATAGCCGATTTCTTGTGAAATTCTCACAAACAAGAGAAAAATCATACGATTTGCGTAAGGTGGATCCCTGATCCTCAAATTAAATTATGAAGTTTTTCGCTTATTTATGTTTTCAATTTAGTTCTCATTATTTACAATGTAGATATGAAACTTGTTTCCGATGGGTTGAATTTGCGACTGGGGTTAAATAAAATTAAAGGTTTTTGTACCTACAAAATTCAGAACAGACAGTTGAATATTCATTACATTGTACAAAATGAAATATAGATTTCCATTTACAAAATTGCAATAGTAATATAACTAGCAAAGCAATATTGCAGGAGGGATTCGCACTTGTTTTCAAATATAAGAGGGGTTTCCCAGTAAGAACGATAGGATTTGAAATTGAAATAAAACAACCTAAATATGATCAATTTGCATACTCATTGGCTTTATTTGATAGTATATTTTATGCCATTTATGATTTAAACAACACATCGTTCAAATGGTCGCCACGGCTCTGTTTGCGCTGATTGATCCGGACACACCAACTTTCGATTTTCGTTTTTAAAGAAGTACGGGTCAATGATGCTACCGTACCATAATCCGCACCAAATCGTCAATTTTTCTGGATGTAATGGTGTTTCATGGACCACTCTTGGATTTGACTCACTGCAGTAACGACAATTTTGTTTGTTGACATATCCATTCAACTAGAAATGAGCCTCATCGGAGAAGATGATTTTGCAATAAATTCTGGATCGATTTCCATCATTTCCAGAACCCAATCAGCAAACTCACGACGCAACCGATTGTTTGATGGCTTTAGTTCTTGTGTCAGTACCATCTTACATGGATGTAGTCCGAGATCAAAACGTAAAGTACGCCATGTTGTCATTCTGGAAAGCCCCAATTGTTGTGAACGGCGTGGAACGGACATATTTTCATTTTCTGCTGATATGGCCGCTATATTCACTTCACTACGGCCAGATCGCATTCTGGTTGGTGGTCTACTATCGTGCATAGAATATTCACTTTCCAGTTTTTGAATTATGCGACGTATAGTGAGCTGAGACGATGCACCATTAAGACCATATTTAGCACGAAATGCTCTTTGAGTAGCGGCAACTTCTCGAACTTTGATGGAATGTTTTGACGATTTCCAAACGTTGAGGTAACGTTAACTTGTTCATGATTAAATGGCAAGCATTACAAAATAACTCAGTTATCAGAAAATTGACAACTAAGATGGCGGCAGTGAGCTGTCAAAATCCTATCATCCCACTATTGGGAAACCGTATAAGGTTTAGTTGTCAAACTGACATGATTACGTTAGCAGGATATAATCCTAAATGACAGTATTATTCACATGTTTGCCTTTTGTTAACATTATTTACCTAAAGAGAGAAGCTAACTCTCAGTCGAGCATTGCGATCAATTATGATGATTTCTCTAATTAGTAGAGTAAATAATGGATACCAACAAAAAAAATTGAAAATTATTTCCCAGCTGAAAATATATGAAATTGGTAAATTCGGTTGTTCAGTATACGAATGTAGTAGAAGTATGTAGTCACAGTATTAGAAACAGCATCTCTTTATTTATATACAAGACACCTGAAGTCTTCAATTTTGAATATTTCCAGTAGCATACTAATTTAGTTTTGAGTTCTCCTGGTTGGTACTCGACACCCTTGCACGTCAGTCAAAGGGCATTTGTTCATATGTCCTTTTATTTGGCCAAAAAATCATGGAGGTCTGAGTTATTCTATGAAACTAATACTGAATTATGAATAAAGTACGTTACGTTTCGAATAACTGTTAACGTCTGATTTTAATCCTTGTTAGATGAAATAAAAAATTTGCAGTAACTCATCTTTTATGTTTATTTAACATTTTATCTACATGTTTCACATAAATATGTTTGCATTTTCCCAATTGTTTTGAGCATCTACATCTTATCTATTCCTGTTTCCATTGTTATACTAATAGCATTTGAAATTATGGGATACCTTTTGCGTCACAACTTAGGACATATTTCGTGTATACTGATAGTTATTCATTTTTTGTTTCAGTTGCAAATTACTCGTCTGCAACCCGTCCAATACCCAGCTTCGCCGGCTACAGAGCCCACAACACTAGTATTGCCGTTGATCTACGACATTGGATCTAATGCGACTCTGCTGGTGGAGAAGCGTGAATCTGTGGTCAGTCCCGCCATGGCAGCTGCTCAGCAACTACTCAAACATTTTGGGCAATATCAGGTAAGAACAGAACTCAACTAAGCATTAATCAATCGAACCAACTGTGTACAGTATCATGCTCATTGGCAATCAGTATGGTTTAGGTCACTAGTTAGGACAATGATCAAAGCAGCAATATATATCGAAATACGGCAGCAGAAGTGCCATCTACTACTAGAATTAAACCAGATCAAATTTTAGTTAGCGACATAAACCCTTCCTAGCATTACAAGTATATGTTTTCTGCAAAGGTTGCACAAGATATGTAGCTTTGACGTAACTTTTAGACACAAAAAATACTGTAGTTTAATTCTGCTCTGCGAATTTTGAACTTAACCTTTTAAACAGTATATTGCCCTATGTCAACGAATTTCCCCGGACAAGAGGTACAGAATTTTTTTTGAAATAATTGAGGTAAATACCAAAAAAAACTCATAAAATTGCACTTCTTGACATGATACTTGTCTAGGGTCATTTATGCTGAGTAGCAGTACCCATGGGATAGCTTTGTCAGTTTGACAGTAGCTACTGATATTCAGCATAAAGCACTGTACCGCTTTACATTGGCTGAACGGTCCCATTGATATGAATGAAATCATCCCATCGCTGTGTTGCTGGACATTGGAAACTAAGGAGCGCGGGAATAGGGTGCTTGAGTTTAGCAGCGCTTCTGAAAGCAAGTTACGGAGAATAGAGGAGGGGGGTTGCTTTCATGATACATTGAATATTGATTGTTCGGTTTATTAGAACAATTCATGGACCTAAGCATCTAGAGGGGGTTTCACTATGTTGAGATAGACTCCTACACCAAGTCTAACCATGGATCAACAATATATTATTGTAAAATGCAATTTTGCTTCTTTATAGGCTGGTTCTGCGGAGTGCAGCATATGGCCGGCAGTGAGGGAGCTGTTGGTGAATTTGACGCTACCTTCTGAACCTCCGCAATCGAGCCCTGTTGGAGGAGCCCCACCCCAACCTCAGCAGCAACCTGGACCTCCTGGACCACCACAAGGGGCACCCCAACAACCTCAACAAGTAAGTCTTTCTTTAGATTGTTTTATTGATGTTAACAAAATAATAAGTTGCGTCAATCCTTGATTCCTCCAGTCCTTGACTCCAGTATTATTAGACATACGTGAAAAAGACTTCATGGAACCTATTAACAGGCTTCCGCGACCGACTTTGACAGAACTGAGCCACATTTGATATGATCGTCCCACACTTGTAAAAAGCAGTCACTCGTATAACATGTAAGTTGTGAGAATTGTGAGTTTGAAACTCAAATTTTTCCTAACCAAAACTGGGCTATTGTGCTTAACCAAGAATAATTACAAAAAAAATGTATATAGGCCCATCACTATAAAAATAAAATAATTGGTTTGGTTTGGTTGAAACTTGCATAGGGTCGATCAAAGGTGAACTTAAGTGTTAAAACATGATTTTTATATTTTCAGATCCAGTCCCCAGCAATGCAAATGTCGGGTCAGGGTCAACCTGGATATTCAGTGAACATGCCAATGGGCATGATGGGGCCACAATAAAGACGTATCACATTGTTTTGTAAATATTTATTTTTTATGTTGTTTGTTTACTATGTAAGCCAAGCTGTGAATAAATCTTTTACAATACTTATGCTATTTTTCGTTTAAATATTGTTTCAAAAATAAGTTACACAAATTTTTCGGAGGGAAGGGAGAACAAATACTTCAGGCCTGGATTATAGAATACCAATTACTTTCACTTCGATGCGATTGTTTAAAAATGGCGTCAAGTTTGTTTTAACTCTGCATTACCCACGCAATGGAGTCATCAGTTCATAAAAGATTATGTTCGGCACCCAAGTTAGCCGCATACATGTATAACACGGAAATTAAACGGATCAAGTCAGTCAAGCAGGCCCATAAAGTTAATCCATATACATATTTTTCAGTCACGCTACCAGTGTTACCAGGTCTACTGATTTTAGCTACTCTAACAAATGCGAAATTTCCCGAAAAATCTTTAAACTCTTGAATAGTATATTCCTGATGTAATTCACGAAACGCGATTGGTACAACCCTGCGTTCTTCAAATGTTTAAATAACATTTAATTTTGTATTACATATAGGGATTTGATGCAATTCTGCACACTTCAATTTTTTTACTAGCAGCAAATGAACGTTAAATTTTCAAAACCAAATGGAGCTCAACCACGGTGCCATCCTCTTCAATTTTTAATCATCGGCAAGTTTTGTTTTATGCCTAACAAAATTTCTTTGGGATCATCATAGCAGCCGCGGTTTCCCGGCATTTAGGCTTCTGCCTGTGCGGCTGCTTAAGTAAATAAAAAAAGAGGAGCTAAGCAGGATTAGCCGACAGACCGACGGAAATGAGTGACACGGTTTTTCGTGATGTACATGATGTCATATAACACCCCAAAAAACATCATTTTTTTAAATTTTTCGCGATTACAATGCTTCCCCGCTAGCGGCGCACAGTGGTTCAGAGGGCGGAAAAAGTATCAAGATTTCTAATTTTATTACTGGTAAACCGGGTTTTATGAGCCATACCTCATTAGAAAGCTAAAGAAATTATCTAAAAAAATTATATCACAAACTGACAAATGTCAAAAATTGGAAAGGTCTTTACAAAATTTTAGCGCATAGTTCAAAATAAGCCGATTTGATGTAACTTACCTTAGTCCAAAATTGCTCTGATTCTGTGATACATGGTGGTTACGTTAGAAAATAAAAATATTTTTTTTTATTTCATGGACATTTCTTAACGTATTAATTCAAAAATTGGTATCCGAGATTTTTTGGGGATGCGAACCCGAATTGGACATTTTTTCATTGTGACCGTTAGAGGGCGCTTCACACTGCACTTCGAATTATTTTAATGGCCATAACTTTTTTCTCAGTGTGGTTTTTTATTTTTTTGTGAAAAAAACAATTTCTTCGATATCATCAAGCAAAAAAGGCAATCTTGTTAAAATAGGGTATGCTGAGCAGTTTACGAGAAATTGACAAATTTATGCATCAGTGCAAGTTGTGGGGACCCTAAATCAAAATGCTCAGGACTTTACAAAAACTGAGTATGTGATAGATCCCGTCAGAATGAACATTTTTTTAGTATAATAAAGATGTGAATCAAATTTAGTAAAAATATTTGTACATTAATGTTTTTGTGGTGTAAAAAATAAAGCTTGAGCGTTTTTTAACAGTTGAACTCTGTTTTTGGTTCTGTTCAAATACCACTCGTTAAATAAGTCTATATTTTTCATTTTGGTCGGTTTCTGTCGTGCACTAAACTCTAACAATTCGTCTACAAAAGTTGCAATATATTTGCAGCTAGTTCTTTCTTTATGTGTCGAGGTGTCTCAAATGCACATTTTAAACTTGTTTTTAAAACATGGTCATACCTGCACTTTTTTATCGGAACCCAAACTTCCGAAAAAATTGCATGATTTTACTAAAAAATATGCCACGACAACGCAAAGCGACTGTCAACATTCCTTTCAAATTCTGTTGTTTTTCCAAATGTCAACTATATTGAACTTAATAGGTCAGAGCCTTCTGTGATTACAGTTACGTCATAGGGCACGCCTAACTTTTAACAAAATCTATGATGAAAATTGATAAAAAATATTTTTCTGTTTTGAAGTTGAAGTTGTCGTAAGAAAAAAGAGAATGTTGCAAATAAGTAATTTTGCGTTAAAAAAAATATTTTAGCAGAAAAACTAAAGAAAAATATGATATTTATACTTGGTTAACATTTTTACGGAAATGGTGCCCTCTGAACCACTGTGCGGCGTGGGAAGTAATTAATTACGCTGTTTTCTGGTGGGGAGGGGAGATTAGTGAAAAAAAAGTCTGTGCATTAGGGTAAAAGTAGCAGCACTGTAACATTTTAGGCATTAATTTTGAGCGCCTATCGAGCAGTTACATATGATTTTACACTATGCATTTCAAATATTTTACAAATACTTTTCTTAGCCAATCACGAGTGCTCTCACAGTGTAGGTCGTTCTATTGTAGTGTATTAGGAGTAGGAATAACGTGTGGTGGGCTGTTCCACTCAGTCAATGCGTCGGTACAGCGATGAGTAAGCAACCGGTTCCACCTTCCGTTACGCAACGAGTAATAATAAAATTTTTCACGAAAGAAGCCGTTAAACCGCACAAGGTTTTGGCTCGATTGAAGGCTCAGTATACTGGGGATGATACCCTGTCTAAAACTCAGGTATTCGATTGGTCCAAAAAGTTAAACAGTGGAAGAGAACGTGTAGAAAATATGAATCATAATCAACATCCAAGATCAATTGTCTCTAGTGAGAACATTGGTGCTGTTTGCGACCTTATTGAAGGTGACAGGCGGCCCACTATTCATGAAGTTGCTTCAGAAGTGTGCATTAGCTTTGGAAGTGCTCGTAGGTGGTAGATGGTCTCTGACTGTCGATCGCGGAGGTACCACCCGGCGGTTCTCGTAGGCGGAGACAGAATGTGTGCATGTTGGATGCACACGTGTTCCCTGGCCAGAGTCCGTGTGGCGTCCCCCCCTTTCCCATGTATCCCCCTATACCACACGGTACCCAATGGGTGCGTAGGCCTTAGGCATTCGTGGTAGTTGGAGTATAAAAAAAAACAATCATCAAAAAGCATCTTCAACAAAATCTGGGCTCGATGGGTACCGAAGTTGTTGAACGAAGATTCAAAAAACATCCGACTGCAAATCAGTGGGAGACATCTGAATCGATTTCGGCGGGTGGGAGAGACTTTTTTAATCATATCGTGACGTGTAATGAAACATGGGTGCATCAGTACTCTCCCGAGTCCAAGATGACGAAGGGAAGACGAAACCGGTCCCGTGAAAGCCAAAACCCGTCTCTCAGCCGGCAAGATAATCGCAAATGTCTTTTTTGACTGCAAGGAGTGTTATTCATTGATTTTCTACACGACCGACTTGCGGCTAATGGTGCCTACTACTGCCAGCTGTTGGAGGCAGCGAAAGCCGCATACAGATGCGGTGTCCCCATCAGAAATGTCATCCTTTATGACAATGCCTGGCCATATAAAGTCGCTGAAATAAAGTAAAAACTGGAGGATATGCATTAGAAAACCCTTGAGCATCCTCCATACAGCCCAGATTTATCATCCTGTGACTACCATTTGTATGCGCCCATGAAAGATGCAGTTGAAAGATTGAGATTTGACAACGATCGAGATGTGGAGAACTTCGTGCGCAATTGGTTGATCACTCAACCTCAAAGTTTTTAAAAGCAAGGAATTTGCAAGCTTCCAAATCCTTGGGAAAAATATGTAGAGCATGGGGCAGATTACACAGAAAAATAATCAATAGCTTTTTTGTATTGTTTTCTGAATAAATAAATATTAGAAAGGAATTACTGTTTATTTTTGGTCCACCCTCGTATTTTTATTAGCAAGAGATCAATTAATAAAGTTTAGGTTCACTAAGTGACAGCACATGCCTTTATTGAGAAGATTTCTAAGTTAACTATGCGTAAATAAAAACGATGAATTGTAAGTAACTGCACAGTTTATTAAAAACATCATATAATTCCATTTTAAGTACAAAAATTATGGATACGTTGCATTTTAAAAATATGAAGAAATATAAAAAATATGAGATACAAAAAACATACATAAAATATGTAAATAATATAACCAAAGTATATATATTTTTAAAAATAAATTCATTATATATAATAATATTCTGGCAAAAGTTCCACATAAGTTTTGCTTTACTATTAATTTGAAGATCTTCCCTAATAGAATATATTTCTTGATGCAAAATAAATATGTAAAAAATTATAAAATGATTTCATTCTTGATGCTTCTTGAGAGTTCCTTGTTAGGCAGTACAACAGAGTTTAAAAGAACCGTTTCTGCTGAAACACTCACCGAACACCCTGGAAATAAAAACATGCAATCAAAGTTGCTAACGTATCGGGTGAAATTGTTTGATTCCTGTTAAAATAAGCATCATACTGACCTAGGATTGTGATTGAAGGGTTGAGTTTTCCTTCAGTGCTAAACAGTGGCAGATTGTCCATTTTCGCGAATGGTTTATTTGGGTCTGGATCTGTAGCAGTACCTTCCACTCTGGCCCATTTTCCTATCCGAGAATTTTTTCCTGAAAGAAAAAATAGATCGACTCACGATAAAAAATGATCAACAGATATACCTACATTTGGAATGAAAGCAGGAAATGTAACAAAATGCAGGAAAAACATCTAAGCAACTGACAGCTTTGCATACTAACCTATGATGCTATGTAGTACAAGACTTCTTTCTTCAATGATAGCATTGGCCAGTACAATACTTTCTTTGATCCTAACGCCTGCTCCTACCACTACTCCTGGACCGATACTCACATTGGGCCCCAACTAAAAAACGAAAATGTAAGTCTCTGATTCATCTTATATGTCAAATAAAGAATAAAAATGACAACACTGTGCCGAATCTGACAGGCAATGTTGCCATTTACACCTCCTCTAGCTTGAAGAGGTTTAAGACTTACGTTTCAAATCTCTAGGGTTCTAGGCTCTCCATGGTTGACACAGGTAAGGAATTCGACGAAATTATATTCGTATTTTTCCAAGCGATTAATTATAAAATAGTCCGTGACACGACGCGGTCAGACGCAACTGACGCACAGTTGCCACATTTTTCATTTGGGGTTAAACCTCCTCAAGCTTTACAGGTCAGATCATGGCATTGGAAGTTTCTGTGAACTTACAACAGCTGTATGATGCACTGAAGCTGTTGAATTAATGTGAACGTCAGGAATGATAGTACATCCATCTCCACCACCACCAGATGGCTTTGCTAGTCTTTCAGGATGTTTCCTACGATACAACTGGAGATAGTGTCTATTCGCATATATTGCCGCTCCTAAAATGTAAAAAAGTCCGTAATTTGTATGCGAACGTATCCTAAATATTGTCTACTAAGGAACTTCAGATGAAAAAATTTTAATACCATAATGGTGAAGCTCACCAGTTGATATTTACCTGCTGTTTTTAGTTGTGACCACCAGGATGTAACAGGCATGGCAAACACCCTTCCACTACCTGATAAGGGCTGCAAAATTTCTTGTTCTAACTGTATATACCCTACATCACGATCATTTCCAGGTGGGGAGTTACCATTTACAGTTGGTCCATTTCCATTCATATTACTGAAAATAAGTTTATCAAAGTGTTTTATGAAAAATGATTATTTTAGAAAATTTATCTGCTTGCCTAGTATGTAGTAGCATTGACTAACGCATTCTACCTGATGATAATCAACCGCGCCTGAAAAATTATCCGAGATGAAATGAGATACTGTAGTGTCATCTATGAGAATTTGTCACAGCTATGTTTCTGTTTTTCCTGTCAGCAATAATTGTAAATCTACTTTGGAAAGGTTAGTGTCTCTTAGATGGCACTGTAGCATATGCTCATATATAGTTGGCTACAGCGCCATCTATGAGGTACTAACCTTTTGAATAGATTTATAATTACTGCAGTAGGGAGATAGATAGATAGCTGTGACAAATTCTCATAGGTGACGCTACAGTATCTCAAATTATCTCACATAATTTTTCGGATGCGCAAATATAGTATTAGGTTTTTTATCTTCAGGTAGAATACGTTAATCAATACAAGTAAGTAGTTTCAAAACAACCACATAGTCGAGTACAAAGTGAATGATCAAACATGAGCAATGAACAAGTAATTTTACTAAAGCATTTGCAAATAAAAAAATGACAACAAATAAGTTGACTCTGAGCTATGATATCATCAGTACTTAAAGGATTAGGTTTAACAAAAGTTAGCTCTTCTGAGAATAAAGTTAGGTACGAACATGTATAACAAAGAATTATATGGCCTTCCTCCTCCCCCTGAGAGGAATTGCTGCAGGCTCACATGATCATTTTGATGACCAATCCCAAGTGAATGATGATAATGGCCTTCACCATGCACAGTGCACACAGCCCACAGCAGCGCGGAAGCGATTGCCATGACCACCGACAACGACAATTGTCCATTGGAGGACCAAGTTGCACATATCGACATAAGACTGTAGGAGATTTTTAAGGGTAAATGTACGGGGAGATCTATGATGAGTGAAATTATGCCTAATATGAGCGTAGAATTACTTTTTTGTGTTAGCATAAATAAATGAAATACCAATGTCAAAAAGATGAGATATACCCATAGTAGCAACATTGTGTAAAAGTTCATTGAAATCCAAATGTTACTTCTCAAGTTATAAACAGTTATAAGATTGGCAGACAGACCGACAGAAATGAGTAACAGGATGTTTCGAGATGTGCATATCATATAACATCCGATAAACATTATGCCTCATTTTCAAAAAATTTCATTATTACAATGCTTCCCGTCATTAGGCATGGGAGGAGGTTAATGCTTCTGTTTACTAAGTATTTCAGCTCAAAGGGATAAAAAAGAATAAAATATAAATATATCTACCTATATATCTTTTGTTGTTTTCTGTTAAACATTTCTTCAAGAGTTTGGAATATTTCAAGTGAAAATACATAAATTCCACAATTTATCAAAGATGAAACATATGAACTTGGCTTTTCCACATAATGAGTTACTTCCATAGTATCTTTATTGACGACTATGCAGCCATAGTTCAAACTTTGTTGTCTTGTAGCCTCTGTAGCAATTATAGTGACCTAAAATAGAATAAAGTTATTAGAAACATATCTGGCCATTAAAAAACTATGAGGTACCTAATAGGGCCGAATTTGAGGACAAAAAATATGGCTTATATAGACTACAATTTCCATGTTTGTTTTGTTGTTACAAGCTAATGGGTCTTGGTGCCCTCAAGTAATTTAAGGCTTTTAATACTAATATAATGGTCAAAAAAATAGAATATAGAAATAATTCTATTTTCATCTCCCATTCATAAAGTGTCATGAGGCATATTATTTTGAAGTACAAAATTTTTATTTAGCATCAAATTGATTTTACTGTAAAAAGTACAACAAGATGATATCACAAGAGCCACCTATTTTCTTGATGACAGGTTTTGCCATTAATGTAGAAAAAGCATCTTTTCAGCATTGTGTTTGACTCTGCTTGCTTACCAGGGCAGTGTTGTTACATTTGGTAGGTTGTTCTTTGTGAAACTGATACAATTCAGCCAATGGAAAATCAGCACAGACATCTCCATTAAGCACAAAAAATGCATCAGGATTTCCACACCTTATTTGATCTCTGAAGTGAAATAGCCCACCAGCTGTGCCCAGAGCTGTAAACTCTTGTAGATATCTGAAATATGCGAGAATGGATGATTTCAAAGTTGACCAAGAATCTTCCTTGATGTATATGAAGGATCAAAGCTCACAATAATAGGATAAATTGTAGAACAATGTCTATTACTACCTTATAATGATCTTGTACTGGCTTTGCATCTCATTCACAAAGGGTTGTATCTGCGCCATGGGATAAAATCCAATGAGAAGGATCTCTTTCAAATCCTCCATTTGAACACATGCTTCAATGTGGTGTTGTATCAGAGGCAAACCAGCTACTGGGAATAGGGGCTTTGGAGTATCTAAGGATAATGGTCTGAACCTAGTCCCTGAAAAAAAGATTCACAAAAACTTGATATCATATAATATATTTTGATATAGAAAAATTATATTACATGTTATAAATTTACTTTTATATTACAGATGGTGGTTATAGCTATCTATCAGTAAAACTAAAGAAAAAAGTATTTTTTAACATCTGTTTCAACCAAATAATATGTTATGTCCTTCATATCACTAAATTTTTCATCACAAAATCAACTTTGTACTTAGAAATGAGACTGATAGATGACAGTGACATTTCTGTGCTTTTTCTCTTGAGAACGACAAAGGGAGCCAATCTTCTATCAATGTGAAAGAATACAGTTCACTGAAAGATAATAGAATACCCACCTTCAGTTACAAGAACTGCCCCCCTAGGGGAATTCTAAGCTTTAATGAGTATTATTGTTCTTTGTTAGATTGCATCATCCCCTTACATTCTCCAGCTCTTTTGGAATAGCATGGAATCATAAGGAAGAATAGGAAATTTGCTGAGGATATACAGGGAGCCCAAAATGGAAAGTGCTGATTTTGGTTGAAAACTCTTCCCCAAATAAATAAAATTCAAGCACATAATCATATTCACATTTTTTGATATTCCACAGTGTTTTATCAAATAGTGTTGTCGTTACTTACCTTTTTGGGGCCCTCCAATCAATATAATTGCCTTCAACATAGTTTTGGCGACTATTTTCTGAACTTCGTAAGAGGAATTTCTGAATCTTTTAACACTCTAACTCAGCAGAAGATAAGGAACAGATATGTTTGCTTATCTCTAACAATAGCCTACGTTAATTATTATTAATATCCGTAATGTAATAAAACTCTTACGTGGAAATTGTATAAAATTCTTTAAACGTGTAAACAAACACGTAGCTCTACAACAGCCACCTGACAGCTGTCACGAACACCCTACAGTCTAGAGATGGGCGGAGTTGAATCGATTCTTTGACCCGAATCATCACATTGATTCATCCATGACGCATGGAGCCGATATACCAAGAGAAACTACGGCAATTGACAAGTTTACTACCATTTTGTTGTTATAACTTAAATGAAATTAAAAAAAAATTAAACAAGATCTGTAAAAACATCAAAGTTGCGCCCCGCACGAATCGCGCGCGAAGCCGCGAACTACCCGCGACCCATGAGTGTGGATCCTCTTCGCGGCTTCACGTCGCATTCTCGCGTTGTTCCGTTTGTTGTCGGTTTATTATCCCGCGACAAACGGTTCGCAAGGCGCGAACCAGACTAGGCTCCTCATTCGCTGGTGGCTCAGTTGCCTCATAGCGAGTGCCGGGAGTGGTTGTGTTTTTTCCACTTCTTTTCAATTGCTCTAGTATTACTTATACAGGGTGACTTTGAAGTTGAGTCATTAATTTTCAGATAATGATTGTAGAAGGAAGATAAACCAAAATATGTGTGTAAAAATAAAAAAAAAATTTACCTTGTTTTATAAAGTATCCTCCCGACAAGTATTTCAGTGCGGACCTGTATTTGATCGTGAGGTCTTGGAGCACCGGCATGCCGTCCATATGTGAGGTCTTAAGTCACCTGATTCACGAACCCGTTGTACTACATTAACAAAGGCACGAGGGGTTGGTTGCACTCGATTGGGAAACCGATCCGCATAAACATGTGCCATTTTTTATTTCGTTTGAGCCACGCAACAGACACCACTATTCACTACCGACTGACACTGACTGTATACAACTGAATGAAATAATTGTAAAAACATCGTTCCAAATTCTTTCGCTTTTTTGTTTCCGATGCGATGAACCGATAAGGCGGATTATATCCGTTGTCGCCAAACACGAGCACATAATATTATTATTGAGACAGGGCGGTACTCAAACTTCCAAAGGGCTATAACTTTGTTACTTCAATTTTACCAGAAAAATGGCAAAGGAAAAAACATTTGTTTTGATCAGACCTACTCACTGTTAAAATAAATGACTCAACTTCGAAGTCGTATATGCGTAATTATAAATTGCCAAAGTGCAAAGTAGCCCTGCAGCAGCAGCAATTTCACCATGCATACTCGTCAAGAACGCGAACTATACTGTGAAGTAGGCGCGAACATCTGCGAGTGTGGAACTGTAGCAACAAACTTCGGGATTCGCACCGCGATCCGCGCATGAGTCTGGAGAGGGTATAAAGACCACTTTGATGTGAGCAGTAGTAGACATAAATACTTACTTCCAAAGTACATGTCAATGTTGGGTAAATCGTCACTTAACCCTTTTACATATCCAGTTTCCATAATAGAACGAACTTACACAGTACATACTCAATAGTTATCAACTGGAAACCACGTGTCTGAGGGCACAGGTGCGCCTTATGAATTATCTATGTATAGACTAATGGATAAACGCACAAACGCTGTCGAGCATGGACGGGACGCTCGGCACTAGTGTGACGTTAGACGCGAACTGACGGCAGTCGCGTTATAATGCGCCAAATTTAAGTATTAACTTCTCTGTCACTTATTGACCGATTTCAACAATTTTTTCACTGATTGATTATAATTCATCTATATTTTGCGGGTATGTCATTACTTATGCGATTCTGAATATCACGAAACTTCTACATTCTGTTCGTGTAGTAAAAACGACCCCGAAACTTGACGCCTAGAGTACCAGTGGTGCTTTAATAGGTTTGCCATGTAGGGGGATTTTTTTGGGGATTAAATGTTCTGGAGGAAATCACAGGTTTAGCGGATAGAAAGCATCCTTCGCTCTTTGAACTAATCCCAGCACTATCCATTAATTAACTGTGATTTGGGGCTTTTTTGTGAAAAGTAGCAATTCTGAGATTTTTATGCTTGTTCTGGGGAATTTCTGTCCGACGTACCTGACAACGCTGTGCTCTGACAAATGATCACTTTCCTTAATCTGAGATCCGGCCGCTTGAATCTGAAGGTATCTGTTTTTTTGGTAGCACTTGATTTTTTTGAACGATATAGTAAAATAGGCTAAGACGACAGCTTAGATAACAATCAGCAATGAAACTATCCTGACACTGTCAAAAACGGTCGCCATTTCGGCGGAGAAAGTCGAATGTAGTTTCCCCCAGTACAACGATGAAAGAGGTTTTAGTGCCCAGCAGCAACCGGTGTTGCCAGGAACCCTGCCAGCGGCCGCAAATATAATTTGCAATCGTAAAAATTATAGTATTCCGATATGATCTGGTGTAATTTATATGAACCTATAATAAAAAGGAGTAAGTTTGTCCAAAAAGAAGCGACGAAGTGTTGATGACTATTGGTTTATGAAAAAGTTTTAAAATAACTTCGTATTGGTGGAAGTATTTACAATAAACAAAAAAATATTTACTTTTGCCATGTATTCTTTGCTGCTGCGAAATTCTCAATCAATTCCATTTTCAATGTAAACACTGTTTGTAGGCAACTATACGCTCTCCACAAGGCGATTCATAATTACATGATAACACAAACATATTTTAAATGAATTTGTTTAGAATAAGAGAAAAATAAAAAAAAATATTATGGTTTAGTTTTACTGGTAAACAATGTTTCTTAAATGCTCATGTGCTCTCGTTTTTTGCGCGACAAAGATGCCGAAATGTTTGTGATTGAGTGATGGCTGTATTTGTCTGGTGTTTTTAGCACCGCTTACATTGCAATAGATTGATTATATTGCAGCGGCGTAGTACAAAAGTGTATATTTTTCCGTTTATTCTGCATACTTCCACCATTACAAATTTATTTTGAAGCTTTTTCATAGACTGTCAACCGTCGCTTCTTTTTGGACACACAGACTCATTTTTATTATTAATTCACACAAACTACCATCATATTCAAGTATTTATCATTTTATGATTGCAAAGAATATCTGGGATCGCTGGCATGATACGGGGCAACACCGGCCGTATCGTCAGTCGTTCCTACAATTGTAGGACACCTTTATGGCTTTGATGCAAATCGATATCTGTAACAGAACCTCAAAATAGAGCGCCACGACATGGAACGGTAGAAAATTATAAAAATCAATGAGGCTATAAAGGCATCCTACTATTGTACGCCTTTTTATGGCCTCCCTGATTGTCATAGTTTTCTACTCTTCCGTGTTCTATTTTGAGGTTATGTTACAAATCTACAGTTTGCATCAAATTGTTCGTGCTTTTGATTTATATTATCTGTTATATAGCCTAAAATTTCCTACAATTCAAGCAGAAAACATGGCTTGGAAATAGGGGAGAGCGCTGACGCTGCACGGAACAGTAGAGATCTAGAAATATCCAAGCCTTTCTAAACGAGATGAAATACTATGAAAATCAAGGAGGCGATAGGCGTATTGTAGGGCGCATTTATGGCCTCCTTGATTGTCATACTCTTTTCTCTCCTTCAAAAATTTCTAGATTACACTCGTCCCGTGTCAGCGTCAGGCTGATAAAACATGATATAACTCAAAAGCAAGCACAATTTGATGCAAATAGATGTTTGTGACATAACCTCAAAATAGAGCGTTGACACGGAGAAGTATAAAACTATGACAATCAAGGAGGCCATAAACGCGCCCTACAATTGTAGGGACGACTGACGATACGGCCCTTAGCTATGAACTGGAATGAATAATAAAAATATATGGAATATATTGTATAGAGAAGTGTTTTTACCGCCATGTGACTAGCAAAATACGTTGGCAGCACTGTCGTTCCCCATCAACTTTCCTTGAAATTAGGCATAAAATTATGTGGAATAAATTTTGTTGCGGGGAACTCACATGCGATGTTCTTCGCCGAAATGGCAACCGTTTTTGACACCGAGTTTGACAGGAGAGTTAGTAAGCTGTGCTATAACCTCAGACTTTTTTCTCATTTCGCCGGTTCTTCTAGCTCCATGTATGACAGATGTTCAAGGCGTTGCAGGGGATTTTTCTTATCAGTGCGCAGATATCATGGCACTATTTTTGAGATGCTCTATTTCTATGAAATTATCAACACCGGCTAGCCAAATAGGGCAGCCCGACCAACTTTGGATGATTGAATATTCAGTCACTGAACATTATGGAAGCGTTGTGAATAGAGAGATCAACTTAGCGATCATGATTCCGAACCACAGTGTCTCTGAATTTGTTATCCAAACATTGTATCCATACCAACGGGCATTCATCGTTCGTATGACATAAAAAATGCCCTGTTTTCCGCGCTTTTAGCATTTATTTCATATATTACTATATGGGGCTTTAAGGATTTCAAAATAAAAAACTATGGGGTGAAATCAAATCTATTTTTTGGATCTGATTTGTAAAACTTTAATTCAGTTACAGTTCACAACGCAACTTAAGTATAACAAGTGTACAACTATATTTTTACAAACTAAAAACTATTCTAATGAATCATATTTTTCAATGTATCCTCGTAAGATCCTCGATCATTTTGACCAAATACTCTACAGTGACAGTTTGCTAAAAACAAACATTAATGGTGAGAAATTATTATTATAATTGTAAAAAAGACAAGGAAAACTGCTCGTCTATTTTTATAAAACTGTCACTATCGTCAGTTTTCAAATAGCGATTGTACCTTAACAAGTGTACAACTATATTTTTACAAACTAAAAACTATTCTAATGAATCATATTTTTCAGTGTATCCTCGTAAGATCCTCGATCATTTTGACCAAATACTCTACAGTGACAGTTTGCTAAAAACAAACATTAATGGTTAGAAATCATTATTATAATTGCAAAAAAGACAAGAAAAACTGCTCGTCAATTTTTGTAAAACAGTTACTATCGTCAGTTTTTAAATAGCGATTGTACCTTAACGGTTCATAGTGGGAGAAACTGATAATTTAAATTTAAGGGGAAGCTGCATAGATACGAATGAACATTGGTCAAATAAACAATTTTAGGTAAACAAAAATTTGTCCAAATCACAGAAACCCA